TAAATATTAAAACTCTCTCTCTCTCTCTCTCTCTCTCTCTCTCTCTCTCTCTCTCTCTCTCTCTCTCCTCTCTCTCTCTCTTTAAAAAAAAAAATTATTCAAGCCCTTTATAGGAAATTTGGAAAGTTGTTCAGTAATCTGGCCACCTACAGAAAACCAGTTAACATTTGGTGTATTTTCTCTCTCTCTCTCTCTCTCTCTCTCTCTCTCTCTCTCTCTCTCTCTCTCTCTCTCTCTCCTCTCTCTCTCTCTTTAAAAAAAAAAATTATTCATGCCCTTTATAGGAAATTTGGAAAGTTGTTCAGTAATCTGGCCACCTACAGAAAACCAGTTAACATTTGGTGTATTTTCTTCTAATATTTTCCAGATGCATCTTTTCCCAAACATGTAYATACAGAGATAGATAGATAGAGATTTGTAGTTTTGTGACCTTTGCTGTTTGTTAACATTTCTCAGATTCAAATATTTTTAAGAACATGATTTTTAAAATACCAACCCTGTTATTTTCATCTATTTCCTTACTTTTACTCCTTTGGATTTTATTATTATTACTATTATTATTATTATTTTAGTTGAAGATAGACAACAATATTTTACCTTTTCATTTATTTATTTTTAATGTGGTGCTGAGAATTGAACCCAGTGCCTCATGCATCCCAAGCTCTACCACTGAGCCACAACCCCAACCCCCTGGGTTTCAATTTTTGCTATTAGAAGCAATGCTGCTATAAATCTTTTTAATATATAATAAACATTTATTAAGCACCTTTTCCATGTCAGGCCCTGCCCTAGGCTCAGAGAGCACACAAAGAGCTTACCACCAGGTGCCTTGGTCTTGAGGAAATCAGTCTGGAAAACACTCAGGCTCCAGCCCAGACGTTTGGGGATTGTGGTTTTTCCACTGAGCTTGGATCTATTTTCCTAAATCAGTCAAGACCTTCTTGAGAAGAGAGGCTGTCAGGTCCCCCTTTTCCCCAGCCCTGGGAATAGAGCACCTCTGGGCATGCTTATGAGCCTTTAGGACACCTTCTGAGTGCCTGTCGCTTGCCCACCTGGCTGTGGCAGGCTTGCTGACCACAGTGCATAGTAGGGTGAAGAGGCATCTGGACCTGATGGCTGACGGCTTCAGAGCTAGCTAGCACTTGGGAAGGGTTTGCATTTTCCCAGGATGAACAGAGACATGGTGGGCATTCCCCTGTGGCAGGTTCCATGTTGCCTGCTCTGGACACAGGCCCCTGTTCCCCAGCCTGCAATAGGATGCCAGACCCAGAGCAGGGAGACCGCTGAGGTCCTGGTGCCTCCTGGTGAGCCATGCTGGCCATGTGCATCTTCAGAGGGCCATGCACATTATCAAATGACTATTTTTTTTTTTTCTCCCATAAGCTCCAGCAGATAGAATTCTCAGAACTCCAGGGTTGAAACAGAAGGTGTGGGCTGGGGATGTGGCTCAAGCAGTCGCGCTCGCCTGGCATGCGTGCGGCCCAGGTTCGATCCTCAGCACCACATACCAACAAAGATGTTGTGTCCGCCGAGAACTAAAAAATAAATATTAAAAATTCTCTCTCTCTCTCTCTCTCTCTCTCTCTCTTTAAAAAAAAAAAAAAAGAAACAGAAGGTGTGCTAAGGGCCTGGGTAGATAGAACTGCCTAATTCTAAACTGCTGTAAGCAATTCTTTCCTCTGCAGACCAGAGACCATCTGAGACATTCGCCCTCTTCCATCTAAATGAAATGGAGGTTTTCAAATTCACTCACATTTTATTGGTCTCCTGTTTCATCCAAGTATTTAACGAGGACTGGCCACCAGAACTGGCCAACAGTGAGTTCAAGACCACGAATAGGTTCTGTCAGTTTGGGCTCAGTCTAGGTAGCTAGGCCCTCTACCTCAGTTAATTTTTCACATGTTTTTTTAACATATAGATATTAAATCCACTTGAAATTATTTTGTCATGAAATGAAAGGTAAATCCAACTTTTTTTCCCCCCAAGTAGCCGGTTTTCCTAACTTCATGTAGATTAACTCATCCTTTTTTCTAAAACATCTTTACTGAAATATAATTTGCATGCCATAAAATTCACTCATTTAAAACTGTACAATTTCAATAGCTTTAGAATATTCATAGAACATCTTTCCCCATGCTAACTAGTCATTTGAATATCTCCTTGGGAAAAATACATATGCAGATCTTTTTTCTTTTTAAAGAATTGGGTTTGGGGCTGGGAGTGGCTCTGGGGTAGAGGCTTGCCTAGCATTCACAGGCCCTGGGTTCAATCCCAGCACAGAAAAAAGAAAAGGGTTGGGGGGAGTTGTCTTTTTACTATTGAGCTGCAGTTGTAAGATTTCTTTATACATTCTGCATGCCAGTCTATTATCAGATACACGATTTGCAGCTAATTTTTTACTGTCATGCTGGCCTTATTTATTATTGCAGTACTGGGGATTAAACTCAGGGGTGCTCTACCACTGAGCTGCAGCCCCAGCCCTTGTTATTTCTTATTTTGAGATGGGATCTCACTAAGTTGCTGAGGCTGGCTTCAAACTTCGGATCTTCCTGCCTCTGTCTCCCAAGTATCTGGGATCACAGGCATGCACCACTGCATCTGGGTAATTTTTAATTGATATAATAATTGTACATATTTATGGGGTGCAGTGATACTTTGATACATGTGTATAAGGTGTAATGATCAAAACAAGGTAATTAGCGTACCCATGCTAATATCTTTGTTTTGGGAACATTTAAATTCCTCTCATTGCTAATTTGAAATATAAATAAGTTAGTGCTAACTATAATCACCCTACTGTGCTCTAATAGCACTAAATCCTTCTAACTTTTTATACCTCTCCACCAATCCTTCTCTGTACCCCCTCCCCACCTCCAGTAACTACCATTCTACTTCCAACTTCTGAGATCAGCTGTTTATAGTGTACATAAGAGATCATTCAGTTCTTGTCTTTCTGTGCCTGACATCTCAATTAACATGATGATCTCTAGTTCTATCCATGTTGTCACACATGATTGACAGGGTTTCATTCTCATGGCTGAGTAATAATATTCCACTGTGTGTATATATACCGCATTTTCTTTATCCCATAAATGGAATTTTCTTAATTTTATGTTAGATTTTTTCACTGCCAGTATATATAACTATAATTAAAATTTATATTAATCTTGTTTCCTGCAAAGTTGTTAAACTTGTTTGATAGTTTTTAATAGATTCCTTAGGATTTTTTGTAGATAAGATCATGTTGCCTGTGAACAGAGGTAGCTCTACTTCTTCTTTTCCAGTATGGATTTTTTAGAATTAGTTTTTCTGATGTTAATGTAGTAGTTAGAACCCCAGTACAGTTTAAGTTAAAGTGATGAGAAAGGACATCAGGACATCCTTGTCTTGTTTCTAATATTAGGAGGGAAATGTTCAGTCTGTCTCCATTAAATATAATGTTGCTCTGGATTTTTGGCAGTGCCATTTATTAGATTGAGGAAATTCTCTTCTCTTCATAGTTAGTTCAATATTTTTATTGTGAATGGGTGTTAGATTTTGTCACATTTTCTACAGCTTCTGGGACAATCATATTTTTTGTCCTTTATTCCAGTAATACAGTAATACCACACTTATTTTTCTATGTCAAACCAACCTTTCATTTTAGTGGTGTATCAGGCTTGTTCGTGGTATACAACCCTTTATATATATACATAAAACCTTCTTTTGTATGTTGTTACTAGTCATGGGTTGAGATATTTACATCTGTATTCATAAGGAACATTGGTCTGTAGTTTGCCTTCTTTTGACATCTCTTTATCTGGTTTGGTGTCAGGGTAATATTGGCATCATATTATTAATTGAAAAGTACCCCCTACTTTTCTCATTTTTGGAAGAATTTATAAAGGATTGGTATCAATTTATCCAGTTTGTCTTTTGATGTTTGTTAGAGAGCTCATATTGCCCTGGACTTTTCTTTATTTCTATAAGGTCAGTGGCTATGTCCGCTTTTACTCCATATTTTGGTAATTTAGTGTCTTCACTTCCCCCCACCACCACATTTTAAAATCAATTGGCTAAAGGTTTGTCAATTTTGTTGATTTTTTTTTCAAAGAATAAATTTTAGGTCTCATTTTTTTAAATTCTTTTTTCTATTCTCAATTTCATTTTTTCAGTCTCATCCTTATTACTTTCTCTTTACCTGTTTTGGGGTTAACTTTCTCTTCTGTTTCTAGAGGTAGAAGGTTAGTATTCACCCAAGGTCTTCATGTTCATATGGGTGTTGCAGCTGTAAATTGCCCTCAAGAATCTGCTTTTGTTCTTTGAACTGGAAGAGTAGTCTATTGCTATGGCCTTTTAAATAAAGACGCTTTTTTATAGCTGCGTTTCCCTTTGAGCCCTGCTCAAAGTTTCAATTTAAGTACATTTTAATTTTTTAAAAATATTTACTTTTTAGGTGTAGATGAATACAATGCCTTTATTTTATTTACTTATTTTTATGTGGTGCTGAGGATCCAACCCAGGACCTCGCCCATGCTAGGCAAGTGCTCTACCACTGAGCCACAACCCCAGCCCCACATTTTAATTAAAAAAAAAAAATCATTTACCTAAGGTGTTTTCTTTTTTTTCTTTCTTCTTTCCTTCCTTCCTTCCTTCCTTCCTTCCTTCCTTCCTTCCTTCCTTCCTTCCTTTCTTTCTTTTTTTTAAGACAGGGTCTCACTAAGTTGCTCAGGGCCTCGATAAGTTGCTGAGGCTGGCTTTGAACTCGCCATCCTCCTGCCTCAGCCTCCAGAGCCTCTGGGATCATAGGTGTGCCCCCCTGTGCCCACCCCCAAGGTGTTTTCTAATTTCCTCTTCAATCCATTGTGTGTTTAGGAATGTGTTTGATTTCCACACATTTGTGAACTTACACATTGTTTTCTCTTGTTGAGTTTTTCCTTCCCACTGTGATCAGAGACAGACACACCCTGCAGGATTTCTGCCTGAACCCTCCTGGCTTAGAGCCGACTGTGGGCTTGCATTCACTGGGCTGCAGCAGGCTGTGCGCTCTGTGATGGGGAACGTTCTGTGAACCTCCATGAGTTTACCAAGCTGTTCAAGGCTTCCAGTTCCTTGTGGCTCTTCCGCCTGGTTGTTCTGTTAGGAGCCTGGCCCTGCCAGGGCTGTGTCTTGGACTTCCAGCCTGTAGAGCTGCAAGACACTTATTTCAGGCTGTTGCCCCTGGGGTTCAGTGCATGGTGGTCAGCAGCCCCGGGAAGCTAGCCCCAGTGCCTGCTTGGTGCTCCTTTGATGACTTTTCTTTCTGCTCTTCCAGTCGCACAATCTCCAGTGCTATCTTCATACCAACTGGCTTTTGTTTTTATCCCCTCAAATCTGCTGTAAAACTGACCTCTAGTGACGTTTTCAATTACTTATATTTTTCAATTCCAGAATTTCCACCTGGTTCTCTTACAGTGCTCACCTCCACAGGTCTCTGTTTAAAATACCGTGTTGTCGCACATCCTTGAATTAGTCAGGCATGGCCTCCTCTGGTTTTTAGAATATCTCGTAGTGGCTGCTCTGACATCTGGCCTACCAAGTCCAACAGCTGGCCCCTTTGAAAGTACTTCCCATTGCCTGCTTTCCCCCATGGGTTGGTCACCGTTTCCTGTTCCTTTATGTGTCTCCTAACTTTTCCATTGAAACCTAGACATTTTGGTCGGGTATTATAGTGACTCTGGATATGGACACCCCACCCCCCATGCCCCGGGGGTGGATGTCCTTGTTCACTTATTTGACTAGTCATGTGGCTGAGCTTACTCTCTGGAGTCTGTGCCTGCATTGTGTAGCCTTTTGTTTCCTACTCAGGTTTTTTTCCCCCATTTTAATTCCTAGCTTAGCCATCTAGAAGCTCCCCTTGGGTCAGCAAAAGTCCCTGATTGGGCAGGGGTGCACTTGAGCCCCTGCCATCTGGATTTTCTCCTGTACGCTTGTGGCTACTTTTCTTTCCAGAGTTCAGCACATCTGTATTTGTCCTTGGCAAACCCCATCTTTTGGACACTGGGGACTCACACACAGGCTATCCACCTGGATTCTCTGACTTTACTTGATATGTCTGATTTCCTGCCTGCCTTCCTAAATCGTGTACGTCATTTTAGTACACTTTGTTCAAATGAAAATTTTATAGTTGTCATATGCTTCTAATACCATTAAATGACAGCAGAAATCGAAATCAGTGAATAATTCTTTAAAAGATTCTGGTTATTTGGAATGAACTATCCCCTGGGCCCCAGCTTAAGTCACACTGTGTTCTTTTTTTTTTAATATTTATTTTTTAGTTTTAAGTGGACACAATATCTTTATTTTACATTTATGTGGTGCTGAGGATCAAACCCAGTGCCTCAAGCGTGCTAGGCCAGCGCTCTACCACTGAGCCACCACCCCCACCCCACTCTGTGTTCTTAATCTGGGTTCTGCATGTTTAAGAGGTAGCAGGGTAAGTACCACGTCAACTCAGCTGCCCCTGTGCGTGTGATAACAGGGCCATTGTGTCTAGTAAAACTCAAGCCACTGGCTGAATTGTCCCTCTCTGTGTGCCCATCTGTAGATGGCTCATCTCCTTTTAGGGTACAGTGACCCATTGGGATGCTGGTGATTCCTCCATGCTGGGCAGATCCTGAGACAGAGCCACCTGTGCCACCCAGCCACAGCCTTATTGGTTCAGAATAAGGGTCCCATTCTAGCGTCCAGTACCAGTGCTACAGATTAGCCACACGCTTTTCTGAAGGGACATGCATACATTTTGCTTTCTGGCTGTTCAGGACTTGGACCTGCGTTAGTTTAGGAAGCCTCCTCTCTCTGGCCAGCTCCCTTCCTTCTTGGCAGCCTCCTGCTGACATAGGCTGGTGTGCCTCATCCCCCCCTGAGCAGGGCAGAGGACTAGAACAGGCAGGAGCCTTCATGGGCCCAAATGTCTCCTTGTGCATGTGCATCTCCAGGAGTGTTTTTGGTTTGGGTTTGGTTTGGTGCTAAGGATGGAACCCAGGGCCTACCACAGGCTGAGCGGAACCCTGAGCCCCTAGGAATATGTTTTCTAATCCATGACTGACGCTCTTAGCAGGAGATATCACAGATTCATTGTGCTTTGATGCAAAGCTGAGTAAGTCAGAATGGGGGCTGGCGATACAGCTCAGTTGGTTCAATCCCCAACTCCACAAAGTCAGAATATTTATTTACACAGTGTGAGGAATGAAATACTTTGGTCAAGAACTCTTTCTCTGTGGCGAGCACACAGCAGTTCTGTAGGACCTAGTGCTCTGGCTTTGGGTACACAGCAGTTCTGCCAGTGAGTCTGAGCTGGCCGCCGGCTTGAGGAGTCCCAGGGTCCTGTGCCTTGGAGTTACTGGATTCTGCTTCAGCAGCCACAGATGGGCTATGTGCGCTTTTTGAACTGAACCATCAGGAACCGAGCAGGAGCCACATAGTTACTGGGTTTGCTTCTCTTCTTCCAGGGAGATGACAGTCTATCTGCAATTACCTTTGACTCAGACTTTGAGACGGTGAGTATTAATCATGACTTGCAGCTGCTGCTTATGCTGCCCTTACACGTGCTCCTCAGAGAGTAGACTAGGCCAAGTGGCACAGATGTCCTTAACCAGGATACAATCCTGAATGCTCCTTGGTGTTTGAAAGTTTTAATCCCTTGGTGGGATTTAAATTATTTAGATTATAATTTTAAAACTTTTTTCTAGTAAAGATCCTGAGCAGGGTTCACGTGAGGCCAGTGACCAGTTCCTGTCCTGCATCTGGTTTGGGCCTGCTTGCTGCCCCCAGTCCTCACATGAGGGAAGGTGGAGCTTGGTGAGGCCGGCAGAGCCCACTTCCAAAGCCAAGATAGCCTGGCCAGCAGCGGGGCCGCTGGGGTGCTGGGAACCAGCTGGGAGGGGTCAGGAAATAGGTGGTCAAGCCCAGAGGCCCAGGATGGTGCTGTGGTTGGCCTTTCTTAGTTTGTTTGCCACTGTGCCAGGTGACAGAGGAAGCCTGCTAACTGCTTGCTTAGAGATAAGCAAAAGAAGCTTGTCATGTAGATGGTTCTAGCAAAACAGTGGCCTGTCAGCACTGAGGGAACCAGCAAGCTTTGGCTGCACTCTAGGGCACTGTTCCCTAGAAGGACCCTATCTGAAAAGCTGAGGGGTGTCCTGCCACATCCCTGGGGCTGGGGTCCAAAGTACCCCTTGGAGGAGCAGCAACCCACGCTAGCCCCTAGGTAGAATTCAGCCTCCCTCAGACAGAGGGTTCGCTGTGTTCGCCCAGGGGAAGCGAGGGAAGTTCCCGTCAGAGTGAAGTGCATAAGGAAGACGAGGTTGGAGGGCGATGGTATTTTCCCTGAGACAGAACTGGCGAGGATTAGAAGCAAATTTGCACCCAGTTCTGCATTGACATCATGTTGTCACGGCAGACAGGCCCACACAGGGGGCCACTCCTTCTGGACTTGTCTTCCTCCGTGGGATTTGCAGTTACTTAGGGTTTTCATCTTGCCCAACCTGCTGTGGGGACACAGGTTGCATCAGTGCCCCAGAACTGAGCTCGAGGACAGTGGGGGCGGGGAGCAGAGAAGATGCCTTACCTGGGCTCTTCCCTCTGAGCTCTCAGAGCCCCCTCCTTGAGTTTCCTGTTTTAGGACATGTCTGAGAGCACATGGTGCCCTTCAGCCTCAGTCCTGGCATAGGGCTCTACTGAGCTCATTTGTCCTCATCCCCTCATATGACCGCCTGGGCCCTCCCTGCACACGGCAGGGTTCCATAACAGGAACCTCCAGGGAAGCACAGGAAGCTCAGTTGCTTTACATCACCTCTTCTTCTTTCAGAAAGCAAGAAGGAAAGGTTTCCACAAGCCTCCCACATCACCAAGTGAGTATGAGCAGGCCTTCTGCCCCTGTCCCCGCCCTGACCCTGGAGTGTTTCCAAAAGCTGCCTGCCCCTGGGACAGAGGACATTTCTTTACTTGTGCCATGGGGTAGGAGAGACATGGTGTCATAGGGACCAGCCCCATTTGCTTTGGAACCTCAGGTGTGTGTGCTCCTGGGGTCCCCACCTGTCCCAGGCACCAAGCTGTTAAGCTGCCGCTCCTGAGTAGGGCCCAGCCACTGTCCCACTGAGCCTCCCATGAGACACAGCACATTGTGGCCTTTCTTTTTTCTTTTTCCTTTCTCTTGGTTTCTCAAAGCCAGAATACTGCCAAAGTTAAAGGATGTTTTTAAGTTAGGATGCATTTCTTGAGCATCAAAGCTGTTACTGTGGGCCCAGTACCGAGAAGGTGTGGACATTCCAAGGCAGAAGGGAAGCTCACCTTTATGTTCTTGGGATTCCCCGGGCTCATTTTGCTGCCAGGGTTCCCCTCATCCTTAGCCGGATGAGAGCAGCTTTGTTCCCCTCCGCAGATGGCCTAGAGGCAGCTCCTGCTGGTGAACTTTGCCATGCTGGGCTGCTCCAGATGCAGCAGGGCCTCCTGATTTGTCTCTGTTGTTCTAACGCTGCTCTGGGACACAGTGACCCGGGTGCTAGTCTCACAAACGTGCTCATGGAAGATGTGAAATGCTAGACTGGCTTCCTTTTACTAACCTATCAGCCTGTGGCCTTTCCCACCCTTATCATCTGTATACGTGTGTGTTTTATATACATCGTGTGTATCATGTGTTTTAAACGCATTTAGTTGTACATAGGATATATTCAGAGAATGCAGATGAACTTTCTCAGTGAACAGAGAAAACATAATTACCAAAGTACATTCTTGTAAAGAACACATTATATGTTAAGAATAAATATACATATTAGAAATCGTGGACTGGGGCTGTAGCATGCCTAGCATGCGTGAGGTACTGGGTTCGATCCTCAGCACCACACAAAAATAAACAATAAAGGCATTCTGTCCATTTACAACTACAAAAAGAAAATTTTTAAAAACAAAAGAGAAAAAAAGAAGAAAAAGAAAAGAAAAGAAGAAAAAAAAATTTTGTCTCAAAAAAAAAAAAAACAAAAGAAAGAAATCTTTTGGCAGTTTGGATTTTTGAGGTTTGTGTCAGCTTTTTGTCACTATGACCAAAATACCCAGCAAGAACAGCCTAGAGGAGGAAAAGTTTATTTTGGCTCATGGGTCCAGATTCAGTTCACAGTCAGTCCACTGCTCTGGGCCCAGCATGAGACAGAACATCTGGGAGAAAGGTGTGGTAGATGAGCACTTCTCCACTCAGCCAGGAGGCCGGGAGAGACTGCAGGGAAGGTGCACCCTTCTGGGCACATCCTCAGTGACCCACCTCTCCAGCCACCCGCCACATGCAGTTGGTCCATTCAGACCAAGACATACTGATTAGGTCACGACTCCTATAATCTAATCATCTCATCTCTGAGCATTGCTGCATTAACAGGAGCCTTGGGGGACACATCCAGATGGTAACCTTGTCCTTCCTTGGAGAACATTGAGAATTGATATAAAAGTACAGGTGTTTGGGTTTCAAACCTTTTCATTTTAGAATTATTTTCTTTCAGTCCTTTGGCTTGAAGGTAACTAAGGTCAACATCATTCACTATTCTTATTGAATATCAAGCATTTCAAGTGTTGGAATCATCATAATCAAATTGTATTCATGTAGAGTTCTGTAAGGGTCAGGATTTTTTTTTCCCCCCCACGGGACTCACGTAGACCAGGGCTCTCAGCCGACTAGAGTCAGGGCTGCGCTTGACCTAGTGGTGTGGCCTCACCCTGTCTCTCTACCTGCTGCCTTTGCTCTGCTTTTTAGGACTCGATGCGATGCTTCCAGCTGCCCCTTGGGCCTGCCCTCAGCTCCCCTGTCTTTCCTCTCCCATAGTCCTCTGGGGCCCCTGGAGCAAAGCTCACACAGTCCTCTCCGCTGTTGGCTCAGCATATCTCACTGCCCAGGGCTCAGGGACGCTGCCCCCAGCTCAGATGGAGTTGTGTCCTCCTAACCTTGTTCATGACCTGTGTTTCTGTCTGTGAAAGGCCGTGATGGCAGGGACCCTGTCTATCCTGTTCTCTTAACATTCAGCTCATGAATGTCTAATCAGTGTGTGTGTTGGGGTAGGGGGGATGCTGTTTCCAGAGTGTTCCAGGTGCTGCTCTGTGAGGAGGGGGCAGCCGCCCTGAGGCTCCTCTTCCTCCCGTTTGATCTTAGGCGCTATCWAATAACACAGTGGGTTCCCACTGGCCTGTTTGCACTTTCTCTTCTGCCCCAGCTTTTACCCGTGTGTATGTTTTCCTGAAAAATTCTTACTGTGGAATCCCTACTGTTCATTGATAAATCCTCATCCTTTAGAAGGGAAATGTAATTTGCGGGTCCTTTTTCTGATCACTAATTTACTTTTGTAAATGACAGTTTAAACAAAAAAGGTAAGGAAGGCCATCAGAATATCCCTGAGGTGGGTGTTGTGGCCCCCGGATACCTGAAAACACATCCAGAGCAGAGCATTCTTGGTTATATGTTGTGAAATCATGGAAAACAAAACAAAACAAAACAAACCTCATATAAGCATAGTAGACTTAAATTTTCAGGACCTTCTACAGATATGAATTTCATTGCTATTTAAAATACATGTGGCTGGGCACAGTGGTGCACACCTGTAATCCCAAGGGTTCAGGACACTGAGGCAGGAGGATCAAAAGTTCAAGACCAACCTCAGCAATTTAGCAAGGCCCTAAGCAACTTAGCCCTATCTCAAAATAAAAAATAAAAAGAACTGTGGAGGGCTGGGGATGTAGCTCAGTTAGTAGAGTGCTTGCCTCGCATGCACAAGGCCCTGGGTTCGATCCCTAGCACCACAAAAAAAGAAGGAAAAAAAAAAGAACTGGGGATGTACCTCAGTAGTAAAGCATGACTGGGTTCAATCCCAGGACCAAAAAGCAAAAAAACATTTTTAACATTTTGATGAGAAAAACAAGAATGCCCTGGAAAAGTATAATTTTTATCATTTCGTCTAGATAGTTTACATGTTCCATTCCAAGTATTATTGCTATATCACTACGTAGCAAAATGAAAAATATTTCGTGTTTAATATAAAGGATGTAAAGTTATATGTTCACCATGATTGTGACTATGTAAAAATATATACATATCTGGAAAAAATTGAATGGGACATTAAATATTATAATGTTAGAATTCTAATAATAATAGAATTTTATATTTTAAAGTTTTCAATTATTTTTCCTTTATAGTAAAAGTTAAAAGAGAAATGTAAATGCATATATATGTATAAAATAACTGTAATGCTGGGTGTACACCTATAACCCCACTTACTTGGGAATCAGAGGCAGGAGGATAACTTGAGTTCAGGGGTTCTAGGCCAAYGTGGGCCACACAGTGAGACTCTGTCTCATAACACAAGTAACTATTTTAGAATTTTTGCCAGAATGTTTTTATCTAGAATCAGCATGCCCTTTGAATACTTCATTGTATCATTTTTTTCTTTCTGAAGCGCATGTGTTGGGGAGTTGATGTTTTCCAACTCGGAAACCACATATTGTCTTTTTTTAGAGTCACCCTATTACTCTAAGCCGAGAAAAGCAGCATCCTGGCGGTCTCTCAGGACAGTGGGGAGCATGCCTCTGAGTGGCAGAATGTCCCTAACCCCACAGAAGCTCTGGCTGGGAGCTCCAAAGCAAGGTATGTAGTTGCTCCCTCTGGGGCCCTGCTGCTCAAGAGTAGGGTTTTAGGAACTGCAGCAGAAGTTTGAGAAGGAACTTTGACATTCCTTGTTTGAATTGCATGGTCTTTGTCTTGCAGACACTGAGCATGTAGTCATAGTTGCATGTCATATGTAGACCGTGGATGATGTCCCTGCTTTTGCTCGAGTGATGCCATAGCCTCTTGGTTCTCCGGTTGTCTTTGTGCTGCTCAGTGGCAGTGGTGTGTGGGAGCCAGCTCCTACCAGTTCCCAGGTCCAGCTGTTAAATTTTTAGGAGCTTTGTGGGCTGGTGAGTCTCACACTAGCAGCTTGAAATTGGGCACGGTGGGGCTGGGGTTGTGGCTCAGTGGTAGAGCGCTTGCCTTGTACAAGTGAGGCACTGAGTTCAATCCTCCAGTACCACATAAAAAATGAATAAATAAAATAAAGGCATTATGTCCATCTACAATTTAAAAAAAAATGAAATGGGCACAGTGGGAATATTTTACACCCTGGAAATGGGCAAATGCTGCAAGCAGGGCTTCAGGGATTTATTTTTGAGATCTTATTGTTAGACATCAGCACACCACTGACAGCTGATAGCATGGGGTGATGTAAACTTCCTTCACTTAGGAAGGTTGGTGAGAGGCAAACCCACCATTGTGCTTGCTTGTGCCTGTCATATTAAATCTGTGCACGCTCAAACCAGGAACTCTGGCCCAACCCCTGAACTCCAGCCTCACCTTGGAGCACACCTGGACCCACCCCCAGTAGCACTCCTAACTGCCTGACCGAAGCTATGAGAGCAAAGCAGTCAGACCTCAGGTGTTCCGCCAGCAATGCAGAGCATATGGTCAAGGGGAGRGCTGAGGAAAAGCAGAAAGGAAGCCTCTCGAAGCCAGGCTTTCATTGTGCCAACCTCCCTAAACTTAAGAGTCTTATTTACATTTCTTACATAAACAGTATTAGAAACAAATATGAATGGCAAATAAAAAAAGCTTGAATCTCACCAAAAACAACAGTCCTCCCCACGAATCCTGCTCCTTTCTGTAAAGGAGAGCCACTTGCAGGGCCTGGTGACAGCTGTCTCGCTGTTCCCCCTRTTGCTTTTGCTGTTAGGAGTTGCAGTTCAGTAGTCCAGATTCCTAGCATATTAGGGGTCGTATTAAAACCAAAGCAAACCAGGTTGATTTTGCACAMCGGCAGTCCCAGCTGCTCGGGAGGCTGAGGCAGGAGGGTCTCGAGTCTGAGGCCAGTATGGGCAACTTAGCAAGACCCTGTCTCAAAATAAAAAACAGARATAAAAAAGGGCTGGGCATGTAGCTCAATGGTAGAGCACCCCTGGACTCAATCCCCAGTCCTGGGGAGTGGGGGGAGTAAAGTTGTACTAGTTTTGCCTTGGAATGGGTGCTAATGCTATATATATATAACACACACACACACACACACACACACACACACATATATGTTTTTTCTGTTATTTAAAATCTAAGTCTATCGCTTCTTGCAGTTCTTCTTTTCTTTTAAATATTTTTTTAGTTGTAGATGGACACAATACCTTTATTTTATTTATTTATTTTTTTATGGTGCTGAGGATCAAACCCAGTGCCTCGTATGTGCAAGGCAGGCACTCTACCACTGAGCCACCACCCCAGCCCTGTCACTCTCCTTCTGTGACTCCTTTCCTTAATCCTTTTACTATAATTAAACTCTGCATTTATCTTTATTTTTCTTTTCTGTATCATTACCATTTTTGCGTGTGTGTGTGTGTGTGTGTGTGTGTGTTTCCTTGCTATTTTTGAAAGTACCATGATGGGGTAAAAGTGAAAGTTTTTTGCTCTTCTTTTTTTATTTTCCTCTTAAAAGGATAATTTTATTGACTTTCAGGTTTTCCTTAAGGCATAGCCAAGAATTCTTTCTTCTTCCTGATGATTTCCTAAGAGGCTTGCATGTCTTCCTCTAGGTCACGTCCCGGGGACTACCGTCTACAGAGAGAAAGAAGATATGTATGATGAGATTATTGAGTTGAAGAAGGTAGTAGTCTGTCTGCATCTTATTGATTTTAGCAGGGCCAGCCTCCAATGACAGTGTCAGTGCAGGGATGGTCTTCTATAATAGTGGATTCAAAATCACCCAGTCGAAGTGCGTCTTCAGGACTGCATTTAGGCTGGCATGAGAGGGTGAGCAGGGCATTGGCAGCCAGCATGGCAAGGAGTCTGGAGCATCTCACCGGAGCAGCTCAGCATGGCAAGGGAGCCTGGGCAGCTGCCTATGCAGCCTTTGCTGCTGGTCCAGAGAGAGCACTCAGGTTTTAGTCCTGTGAGCATGGGAGCTGCCCAGTAGTGAGGGGGCTTCCTGCAGAGCACGCACACACACCCACACACAGATGTCCCAAGCAGAGGTCAGGCTGCTCTTGAAGGGTGGCATAGGGACAATTCCCATCTTGTTGGAAGACTATTCTAAATGGACCTGAGAGCCCTGACACTGAACGGCAGTGCTGTGGTGCTCTTTAGCACTCTGGGAGGGGTCTTCTTGGCTAGAAATGTGATTCTGGAGAAATGGKGCTGACCCCATTCAGACTCACCAGTGTGGTCTCTGGGTAGAGTCAGCCTGGGTTCCAGATTCAGAAAGAAGAGAATTGCTTTTTAATACTCCATCCTTAGGATCTCGAGCATCAGTATAGTTTTTCTATATAAGCCATGTCTCCATTTTCTTTTAAAAATTGGGGATGGTACTGAGGTACAGCTTAGTAAAGTAGAGGGCTGCTTAGCATGTGCCAGGATCTGGGTTCCATCCCCAGGACCACCAGTACAAAATGGAGAGGAATATAATCATACCGATTTCATAGGCTTGTCATGCCATAGGCCAGAAAGTGCTTGGTAGGCAGTAAGAGATCAGTAAGTTCTGGCCACTTTTTAAAAACTTGTTTGAAATAATTACAGATCCCAGGATATGTGTACATGCATGTCCGGGATATGTTGTGTGGACAGTGCAGAGGGGCTGCTGTCCCCTTCACTTGCCTCCTGTGGTTAGGTTTCACAACTGCCATACAATATCCATACCAGAAAGTTGTCATTGGTACAATGTGAGTGTGATTGTCCCATCCCAGGTGTAGATTCAGAGTGTGTGTCCCTCTGTCATATCCCAAGTGCATGTGGCCCTGCATCCTGTCCCAGGGAGAGGTCTGTGGTGTGTGTTGTAGTCTGTGTCCAGTCCCAGGTGGCAATCCACAGTGTGTGCTGAGGCTTTTTTTTTTTTTTTTCTTTAGTCATTACATACAAAGAAAAGTGACGTAGATCTGATGAGAACAAAGCTTCGGCGCTTGGAAGAGGAAAATAACAGGAAGGATAGGCAGATAGAACAGCTTTTGGACCCAGGTCGAGTAAGTTCCTGACCTCATGGTGGACTCCTGTCTAGAGTCACTGTCACACGGGGSGACAAGCTGAGCTACATGTGGACCTCATGTCTCAATATGTTTACTGCAGGGCCCAGATTTTGTTCGGACCCTGGCAGAGAAAAGGCCTGAYGCTGGTTGGGTAAGTAGTCTGGTTCCCCAGAGAGGAGAGCCTTCCCCCAAGACCGTAGACAGGAGCAGGTGCACACGGAGGGAAGCTGCTTCCCTGAAGCCCTTGCACACACAGAGCCGCAGAGCAGGGATGGCCACAGAGCCTCCGGGAACCATTCTCTGTGGAGCCAAGGGGATTACCAGAAGATCCTTCAGGATTGATCAAGGGGAGTGAGTGGGACCCCAAACACATTACAGAGCAAAACAGTCACAAGGGTCAACTTCCCCATCATGCCCAGACACTCCTGTGCTCAACAAGTGTTCTGATTTAAAACAAAGAAACAAACAGCAATAAAATAAAATCCCTAAAGCAGATATAAACACCTCTCCCGTTGTACAGTAATACACAGCAAGTGGATGAAACAAAGCAAGGGTTACTGGAGACTGGTTAATGCTGTGGCAACAAACAAGACAGCATTTGGAGAAAAATGTATCGCCACAAACTCTATGAGTCAGGAAGTTAATTTTTTTTCAAATGTGAGAACTAAAACTGGAAGAGAGAAACTTTTGAGACTATTGAATACAAAGAGTAAAAAATAGTGGACTTGGTAATATAAAATTAAAATTTATATGAAAATCCATGAGGCTGAAACAATATAATGGGAGAGGGAAGGATATCTATCTATCTAACTATCTATTTATTTATTTATTTATTTTGGGTACTGGATGTTTTAACCCAAGGGTACCTTAGCACTGAACCACATCCCCAGCCCTTTCTTATTTTTTATTTTTTGGCAGTGCTGGGGATTGAACCCAGGGCCCTGTGCATAGGAGACAAGCGCTCTACCAGCTGAGCTATGTCCCCAGCCTCCATTTTTATTTTATTATTATTATTATTTTGAGACAGGATCTTGCTAAGTTTTTCCAGGTCTTGCTAAATGGCTGATGCTGGCTGGCTGGCTTATTTGTTTGTTTATTTATTTATTTATTTATTTTAAGAGAGAGAGAATTTTTTAATATTTATTTTTTAGTTTTCGGTGGACACAACATCTTTATTTTATTTTTATGTGGTGCTGAGGATTGAACCCAGTGCCCAGCGCATGCCAGGCGAGCGCAAGCCACATCCCCAGCACTGATGCTGGCTTTGAACTTGCCTCAGCCTGAGATTCTAGGCATGCATTGACATGCCCAGTGGGAAGGATATTCTTGATCAGTACAACAGTGTTTTCTGGACGGGCATGTTGACACATGCCTATAATCCCAGTGGCTCAGAAGGCAGGAGGATTGCAGGTTTAAAGCTAGCCTTAGCAATTTAGCAAGACCCTGTCTCAAAATAAAAATAAATAAATAAAAAGGGCTGGGGATGTGGCTCAGTGGTAAAGCACCCTGAGTTCAATCCCCCAGTATTAAAAAAAAAAACCCTAAAAACAAAAACATTGTTTTCTGTCCACAATGTGCACAAAATCTGTACAAATCTCTAAAGGAAAAAGTCTGTTCTGAAATATATACATATATATGTCATATTGAAATATAATCCATTTAGCATAAATGAATAAAGCCTAGCTGTCTGCCTAGGAAAGCACTTGATCAATATTTAACAATGGTTGTGAATAAATTGATGTGGTTCTACAAGAAAATACATAACTTCTACAAGAAATTACATAACTCCCAAGTTATGTAATTATTGACTCTGCACATGTACATGGTCTCATTTGAACTTTTATATCAGGGACTTCAAACCCTATTTGTAAAAATCAGGAAACCGAGGTTAAAGATTTGCCCACCTTGGGCTCCCAGCTACTGACTCTATGCACTGTGAGGGCAGGCTGGTATCGCTCCCCACCCCATCACCCATCATCTCACCAGCAGTACGTACCTGAGTGAAGAGATTATTTTAAATTGCTCTGAGTAAACACTTTGCACCATAAAGCAACAAAAATAACACAAATGATCAAAACCATCAGCAGGGCTAACAAAAAAGTAGGTCTCCTCAGGACTTGAACACGGCATGCCAGGTTGGCACATCTTGTTAAAGCAGTGCATGGTCAAATCGTGCCTACCATTTATCTGACACTGCTCCTTAGGGGACTGTCTCTCGAGAAAGTAATCCAACGTCAGAAGCCATTTGCACARTGACATTTACAGCTGCCCACTTTGGCAGGAAATTTGAGGAAAGCCATTTAAGAAAACATATTCACCTACTACTAAATTAAAATCTGATTTACAAGTTGTCTACTCAAAAGAAAAGGATGTTCTTTAGGGCATAGAGGCTGTGATCTCCCAAGGAGACATTAACGGAGGAGGAGGAAATGACCCAATAGCGCAGCCTTCCTGCCCAGGTGGAGAGGAGGGCCCTGGGGATCTTCCAGGCAACCTGCTCCTGGGCCCTCTCACCCCACTGGAAAGACTGAGTTGTCACTGTGCAGGTGAGCGTCAGTGGCCTTAACGTCCAGACTTGTAATGGCTTCCTTTTTTAAAAAACAACTAACAGCACATCCTGCCCATTCTCCTAAGCACACAGTGCAGGGAGTTGGGTACCTTTGGGTGCAGACAGTTGGCCGCCATGTCCCTGCCCCGCCCGGCGGGCATCTCATGCCTCCCTGTTGACTTACTCAGCTCCAGGCAGTAAGAGGACACTGGGGCCTTTGTCGTTGCTGCGTATAGCCTAGAAGATAGCCACTAAGGAAGGAAGGACAGGTGGACGTGGAAGTGCCCTCAGAGGGCAGAAGTGCAGAGTGCTGTGGGGTCACCTAGAAGGGGACACCAACCAGCCTGGGGAATGGACAGCCGAGCCTGTAGCTGGAGACTGGGAGGCAAGCCCTTGGGAGACGGTGGCTGAGGTGGTGGCCTTCTGTCAGCAGGTCATCAACGGGCTGAAGCAGAGGATCTTCAAGCTGGAGCAGCAGTGCAAGGAGAAGGACAGCACCATCAAGTACGCAGCATCCTGGGGCCTGCGCGGGAAGGTTCTCAGGGTCCGGGCCAGGCCACCCTGCCACTGCAACTGGCCATCTTCTGCCTTTTACTTCCTTGTTGGTTTTGTTCTGCCTTCTCATTGCCACTTGTCTGTCAACCTCCGTCCATGTCCCCGTTCCCACCCCAAGTGAAGGCAGGGACTAGCTGCCTCTCTCTGTCTTTCAAATGTGCATTCTCTCCAGATTTATTTAGGAAGTGCTTTTCCCCTAGGGTTCCTTGGAATGAATTTCCTAAATCTTGATATAGCTGGTGGCACACAGACCCCGCCCCTGGCACCTCCCAGCCGGGCACTTGCTGTGGCTACCCAGGCTTCTTTACCTGTCTGTCTTTACCAGTCTGGTTGGTGTGAAGAGGTGGTCTTTCTTGGCTCTGCTTAAGTTCAAGTCTTAAGTTCAAGTCTCCTTTGTTTATTTCTTGCTAAAATTTGGCACCTTCAAGTGAATTGGTTATTTGCCAATTCCTCCGTGTTTCAGAGTGCTGACTCAGCTTTCACCTTTGCCTAAAGCCTATGGTCTGTGAGAACAAAATGACACAGTAACAGTATGAGGGGAGAAAACCATCCTCTTCTTAATAAAACTGGTCATTCTCCCCACCTGCCCCCAGAGACGGTCTGTCCAACCTCTGAGGACTTTCAGCACCTAGTCTACGGTTATCAAGGCAGTTTTATCTTTGGAGAAGAATGTCTTCTGGGAGTTTTCGACTCTTGGGAAGTGGTAGTCTAACCAGAGGGGCACTCTGGTGTGAGGACTCTTCCTGTCTGACACAGCATGCCCCATTTGTTCAACGCTAAAGCTCACTGAGGGGCCACTCTTCTCTCCCACCAGTTTCTTTCCCTGTCTCTCTCTTTTTTTTTTTTTTTTTTTGGTACCGAAGACTGAACTCAGGGATGCTTAACCATTGAGCCATATGCCCAACCCTTTTTTTCATATATTTTTTTTATTTAGAGACAGGGTCTTGCTGAATTGTTTAGGGTCTCATTAAGTTGCTGAGGCTGGCTTTGAACTCACAGCCCTCCTGCCTCAGCCTCCTGAGCTGCTGGGATTATAGCCGTGCACCACTATCCCTAGCTCCCGCCAGGTTCTCTTCTGAAGCCATGCCTTCCCTCAGTGTTCTGGGAACTCCTGTTCCTTTGGCCCTGGGAGGAGGTTTGCAGTAACCCAAACCTGCCATGTTAACTCTGAACTTGGGTCCTCAGCAAACTCCAGACTGACATGAAGACCACTAACTTGGAGGAGATGAGGATCGCCATGGACACTTACTACGAGGAGGTGTGTGCTCCCTCCGCGGCGCGTGGAAGGGGAGGGTGCCTGTGGGTGTGAGGGGGAGTCTGCTGACAAGGGGTGAACTGAGACCGGTGCTGGTCCCCTGCTTATCTTGACATGAAAATGAGTCCCAGCAGCTTGGTTCTTGCTTCCTGCCCTGAAGCAGGGTCAGGAATCTGGTGACAGCTTCTGGGGAAAGCTGTCTTGGTGCTCCTGTATGTTTTAACACATTCTAATTTGGCACTTTCAGATCCATCGTCTCCAGACTCTCTTGGCGAGTTCCGATGTTGCAGGAAAGAAGTATGATAACGTGGAGTCGMGTTCCGTGTGTTGTCTAACATGTCTAACAGCAGGGCAGTCGTTCTTGGAAACAGCAGCTCCTGCCCTAACTTGGCAGCAGTGCCCGCGTTGCCCACGCTGCTGATGGTTAGAGCGGGTCTGCTTCCACTCAGGGCTGTGCAGATGTGCCCCATCCTCCATGTTGGCAGCTGCCCCCATTCGCGCTCCACACATATGTTATGTGCACTGCACAGCAGCTACCCGTTCAGAATTGAAAATGCTGTTTTGCTTTTGGGATTCTTTTTGAGGCATTGGGGATTGAACCCAGGGGTGCTCTACCACTGAACTAAACCTCCTAGCCCTTTTTATTTTTTATTTTGAGACAGTCTCGCTCAGTTGCCCAGCCTGGCCTCAAATTTGTGTTTATCCTGCCTCAGCCTTCTCAGTACATGGGATTACAGGCATGTGCTTTTCAAAGCAAATCAACCTTACTAGGATTATTAGAGTCTTGATATTTATGATAAATGGATACATATTCTGAACAATCTCTGTAGACACTGGATTAGCAGATGCTAAGCCACTGAACCAAGGGAAATGTGGCTTGGATTCCTGCAAACCTCACACTTTTGTCAACATTTAGGCCCACGGTGCTGACTCATGCCTGAGCCAATCTTGTCTAATACGTAGTTCCTCCATAAAGCTCATCATATCCTTGTGCCTAGGGACACTGGACAATGAGTGCCTCAGTACTACACTGTAAGGCCATTGTGAACAGTGAAATTACTAGTACAAAGCACAAAAATGTGAAATATTGTCTCTACACTAATAGACTGCAAACAGGCACTTACAGTATGAGAACTGAATCAAGAATACAGCAAGGCCTTGTTAGACCTCCGCTGGGAACACACACCAGCAACTCACCAGTCTTTTAGCACTCTGCCTGCGCATGGACTCCCTTGAGAGCCCCACAAGGGCCAGGCGCAGTGGCAGGAGGATTGTGAATTCAAGGACAGACTCAGGGCTGGGGCTGGGGCTCAGTGGTAGAGCCCAGCATGTGTGAGGCCCTGGGTTCAATTCTCAGCACCACATATAAATAAATAAAGGTCCATCAACATCTAAAAAAATAAAAATAAAACAACGACAGCCTCAGCATTAACAAGGCCCTAAGCAATTTAGCAAGACCTTGTCTCAAAATTTAAAAATAAAAATAAAAAGGGCTGGAGATGTTATTCAGTGATTAAGTGCCCCTGGTTTCAATCCCTGGTACCAAAAAAAGAAAAGCCTCATGAGGATTGATTGTGAGTTTGCAGATAAATCTTAATGAGTATGCAAACTTGCAAATAAGGAATCTGCTAGAAATAAGGACCACCAGTGTTTTAGTCTTTAGTGGGATAAGGCAAAATGAAAGCTTAAAAGGGACTTACATAAAAAAGAGTAAGTTCCTACAAGATTTTTAGTGATGGCATCTAAGATATGACACCAATAATTGAGTACTGTATTTTGCTATACAGATTTGTTAGCAATATGAAATCCTATTACGAGGGTTAGCGGTTTTGTTTATTTGGGGTTCTAAGTTAGTGTTCCCTATTCGGTTGCAAGTATTCCTCTGCAAGAACTCTGGGCTCACAACTGGACAGAAGTGAGCCGTGATTTGCACGTCCCTCACTTCAAATATTATTAAGCCAGTTGAGAAATCCAGAGCTCAGCCCCTCGATGTGGTCATTCCCAGGCTGCCGATGGAAAAGAAGGTGGGCATGAAGAGGCAGAAGAAGATGAGCAGCACTCTTCTGAATTTGTCCCGGAGCGTCCAGGAGCTGACCGAGGAAAACCAGAGCCTGAAGGAAGACCTGGACCGCGTGCTGAGCAACTCCCCCACCATCTCCAGACTCAAGGGTACCTTCCCCAAAGCCATTCAGTGAGGGAGGCACGGGGAGGAGGCCGTGTCTCATTCTATGAGGGAAGGCACCAGAGGGGCAGCACATGTTGTCCATGGCGCTTGCTTCCTCCAACTACGAAGACCCTAGTCCACGGCCTCACAGCAAACAGGTCCCACTAGGCAGAGTTACCCTAGTAGTGATCGCAGAATGCAGCTAAGCAGCCATCTAGGCCCTGGAGACAGAGCAGGGAACAGCAGTGTGGAGGTGCTTCATGGAGGTGACCGCATGGGACAGAAGGAGAAGGTTAAGTCCAAGCTGTCAGACAGTGAAAGTACTAAGGAGAAACGAGGAGGGCCCTTGGGGAGGCCTCACTGAGACACCGATTGCTGGGCCAGTTGTGCAGGCATCTGGGGGTGCCAGGTGGGCCAGCAGTGAGTGCAGAGGTCCGAGCGGAGGCCAGTGTGGCCCCGAAGGTAAACCACAGTAGTTGCTGCCACAAAGCCTGGTGTTGAGCACCAGGGGGCTCCGAGGGGCCCTGGCTTTATGCAGGGTGCGCTGTGCAGAAAAGGGGGTACTGGCAGCAGGGACTTCTGCACTCATCCTGGTGAGAGTACAGGTGGCCTGAGCCATTGTGGCAGCAAAAGTGGCAGGGTGCAGCTGGGCTCTGTGCATCTTTAAGGTGAAGCCCGCAGGAAATGTGGAGACTGAGTGCAGCCTATGAGAGGGGAGGCAGCAGGGTCCAGGGTTTCTGTCTGAGTAGCTAAAAGGACAGAGCTGGCATTGCTGAGGGGGACGACGGCAGCACATATCTGGGGAGAAGGGACAGGTGAGATCTGAGGTGTGTGCAGAGGTAGGCCAGGCAGAGACCTGGGCTGGAGAACTGGACGTGCAAACTGATGGAGCCAAGTGGGGCCTCAAGTGGGTGTGAGTAGAGGGGAGGAATGGGGTTGAGTCCTAACCCTAATGATATTTAGGAGGTTAGGAGGGGGAAGGGAGAGCCAGCAAAGCCAGGAGGGACGCCACTGGTGAGGAGCAAAACCAGGTCCAGAGGCAGCCTGAAAGCAAGTGGGAGGAGGACTAAGAATCACCCTAGGGTCCACATCTCAAGGGACCAGTGGRGTCAAAACCTGACTGGGGGGGCTGGGGTTGTGGCTCAGTGGTAGAGCACTTGCCTAGCATGTGTGAGGCACTGGGTTCGATTCTCAGTATCACATATAAATAAATAAAGTCCATTGACAACTAAGAAAATATTTTTTAAAAAAACACTGGTGTAGAATCAGGAAAGGACATCCCACTAAGACACTTGGAGATGTTGGTATCAGTGATTCTTAACAGCCAAAGGGAACAGAAATCATCCAGAGCTGGAGAAAACCCTTGGGTGGCAGGACCTGCCCACCGGAGCCCTGTGGCTTTGCTGATGGGTGGTTGGGCCAAAGGGTGCCAGGACAGTCTTTGAGCAGACCTGTGTGTCCATCAGGGTACGTGGACTGGAGCAAGCCTCGGCTGCTGAGACGAATCGCGGAGCTGGAAAAGGTGAGCGGGCGTCACGCCACCCCTTGCTCAGGACCTATCTGTGCCTGAGGGGCAGTGGGGCAGCTGAGGGACACAGACTTACACTGAGCAAGTAAATGGTGACCGTCCAGCAGTCAGTACAGTGTGGACTCAGGGCAAGGCCTGAGTTGTGTCGTTCACAGCCCTCACTTTTCAGATGGCCGCGCAATGTCATCAGATTCTGTGCATAGCTGCAGGGCTGAGCACGTGACCCTGGAGGCGCCCACAACCCAGCTGCTGGCTTCTGGCCAGACTTCTTTCTACTTGTTTAATATTTGAATTTGCAGAAAACTGTTCATTTACTCTCTGCTGACCAGAAAATTTAGGCAATTACCGTTTCCTCATACCCCACGTGGGTGCCTCCGTTTCTGTGGAACGGGTCCTTCCAGAATACTGAGCTTGAGCTCTCTGCTGTTTGGCAAACAGAGCAAACCCTGAGGGGAATGTTTACAAATAAGTTCAAAGTAGAAAATATAAGAAGTTTCTGTATGTTGTGTGTATTTACAAATAAAGCTGTTGGGAAATGCAGGCAGCCAGAGCAGACGCACACGGGGGCGGGGGGCTTCTGTGGGCTGGGTGTCGGCAGCATGGAAATGCTGGGTCACCTTCCTGATAGGACCGCAGCACAGCTGAAGGTTGGGAGCAGAAAGGTTGGAAATTCAGAAAGTCTAGGGAAGCAGTGGGCTGAGCGAGCACAGGGACCAGCCGTCTGTCCACCTTGCCTGCCTTGTGGCTTTTTCCTGTCGTGCTAGTGGCTCTCTGTCCAGGCCAGGTTCTCCCCTTTTGATCACAGACTTCCAGGAACTGTGTGGGCCAGTAGACTGGTTGATTCGGGTCACGTAGCAAAGCTGCTCCCACCTGCTGGAGACTGTCCCTGTGGCTTGTCGTCTGTCTCCTGAGTTCTTAACTGGAAATCAAAGACAATAACAAATGCCTGTTTTGCCTCCAGAAAGTAAGTTCAATGGAGAATGCAAAGCCTCACAGCTCAGAATCCCACAGACCAACTCCCCTGGCCCACTCCGTCTCCAACAGCGCAGCACACAAGCATCCTCGGGACCGGCCGGAGGAGCAGGAGCGCCTCCGGGGGGCAGTGAAGAGCTTGAAGGCAGAGCGGAGCGCGCTGCAGGCGCAGCTGCAGGAGAAAGAGTAGGTTCCCATGGGGACCTTGTTTCTAGGGCTGTTGTCATGAATTTGGAGAAATGCTGAGCTCACGGTGGTTGTTGTGTAAATACTGTTTAGGACTCAAGACTTCTTATATTTTGGTTGTAAAATCAAAGTTGCTTGAATGGCCAAAAGAAGACATTTAGATGCCACCTTAAAAGGGGGAGGTCAGGGAGAGTGCCGCAGGAGTCTCTTTATACTGAATTCCAGAGGAGTTCCCAAATTGTTCCCTGGACAGGAATTTACTGTCATTGATTGCATAAAATCARTTACATCTTAGGCAGAATGGTTTTGAAATTCAATAATATGTTTATGGCACATGATCTGTCTATCAGACAAGATGTGTAAATGCTGTAAAATGTCCAGTGCAACCCTAGGAAGGGAGTTGGGAGGCAAAGTCTCACCAATGTTTCAAGGTCTGTAGTCCCCGCCGTGCGCTCTAGGCATCTGTCTCCCTGCTTCTATCTGTGGCTTCTCTGATCTGTCATGAGTGACTTCACCTGCCCATTTTCTGAGATGTTTATCTCAGGTTTGCAAGACTTCAGCAACCTTGCAACTTAGAGGTGAGTGGCCTGTGGAGTGGGGAGCATCTCATCCCCTGGGAGCTAACTGGAGATCAGGGCTTCAGGTGCTGCCAGGCCCTCTGATTGCATGAGTCCAGGGATCTGGGTGCACAGTGGAGTCAAGAAGAATCTCCTTGTTGCCTCCTGGTTCTCTGAGTGCTCAGTCACCTTGTGTTATGGTGGAAGGGAATCCCTCACACTCCACTCTTTCCACCTGAGTAGTGACCTCAGGATGCATTCATGTGAGTGATAAGTTCATTGTAAAAATTGGTATTTCATGGCCAGGCACAGTGAGTGGTGTGTGCCTATAACATCAGACTGGGGAGGCTGAGCCAGAATTGCAAGTTCAAGGCCAGCCTCAGAAACTTAGTGAGACTCTAAGCAACTTAGCAAGACCCTCACTCAAATTAAAAAAATAAAAAGAGCTGGAAATGTAGCTCAGCAGTAGAGACCCCTGGGTTCAATCCCCAGTACAAAAAAAGAAAAATTAGTATTTCAGAAAAAGGTCTTTACATTAAACTGGTCATTTTGGAAGGTAAATAATTTCTGGCATTATCTGTTATGCTATTGAATACCATAGCTACCACAGACTGAGCCCTTATCATGTGACAGGCGCTCTGCTGCACACTTAGCAGGTGACAGGCACTCTGCTACACAGTTTGGGAGCATCTCTGCATGGGAACCCTGAAGGGTTAAGTCGCACAGATAACAGTGGATCTGAGGTTCAGGCAGATGTCTTGCTCTAGAGTCTACTTTGTGGCTGCCATGCCACACACAGGTCACAGGAAACTCAGTGGAAATGCCTGGGCAGCCTTATCCTCAGGCTCAGTGAGGGCAGGGCCTGGTGTAGGGCAGGGCAGGTCCTTCCCCGGCTCAGACCTGCACCTGTGGTGTGAACCAGAGGGTGCTGCATGTGTGACTGTGTTCCATGACTATCCTGTGGCACCTCTCCCCAGGACTTCATATGCCTTTATTCCCTTGTCTTCCCAGCCCCTGGCAGTTCCTCACACATGCTGGTATCCGTGTGCCCAATCAGGACCCTCGGGGCTGCTCTTGACACCACATCTTTAGAATCAAGGGCCTTTCCTGACCCTCCCACCTCTGGTCCACTGTCCTAAGGAAAGGAGGCTAACTCCCTGCCTTGATGGCCTCTTGTTTTTTAAAATATTTTGTAGTTGTTGATGGACTTTCTTTTATTTATTTGTATGTGGTGCTGAGAATCGAACCCAGTGCCTCATGCATGCTAGGCAAGYGCGCTACCACTGAGCCACAACCCCAGCCCCAGCCTCTGGTTTTAATGAGGGTGGAAATGTCTCTGGTTCTTTCGTTCAGTGTGGAGGTGAAGCAGCTGCTTCAAGCAAAGGCCGACTTGGAGAAGGAGCTGGAGAGCATGAGGGAAGGCAAGCAGGAGAGGCAAGAGCATGAGCAGGTTTTGCGGTAGGTGATACATTTCACAGAGGACCCACCCACTTGTGCATGCCAGCCTTTCCCAGTGGGGGCTCAGCACAGCCTCAGAGAGGGTTTTGCAAAGGCCATACTTCTCCCTGAGATATTTCCAGGTGTTCTTTTGCCTTTGGAGTAGAAACCCAAACTCTGGGAAGAGGCCTCCATCAGTGCTGCCTCTGTCGCATCATGGCTCTGCCACTTCTGCCCCTTCAGAATGGGCCAGGGCTTCTCACTCCAACCCACACATTGCTGCTGCCGCAGGGAGTTGCCTCCCAGGCTCCTCCATAATAGCACTGTCACCAGAGCCAGGAAGCAACTGCCCATACCTGCACCGGCTGTTGCCAGATGAGCAGCCCAAGGCCAGGCCACACATAGGAGGAGCCAGAAAGGGAGCACTGCACACTGCAGCTTGGAGGGACCTGGAACAGGCCCCAGCAGTGCCATCCATCTACATAAAGTGTCAGACAGGCAGCTCCCAGTGACAAAGCAGAGAGGACTGCATGAGCCCAGCAGAAGGGAATAGGGAATGGTCACTGATAGGCACAGGGTCCTTATGGGGGTGCCTAGAATGTTGTAGAATTAGTGTGATGATTGTCATTCTGAATAGTCTGAAAACCACCTCATTATACACTTTAAAATAATGAATTTTATATTACAAATCTTATCTCAATTTTTTACAGGACATTTGTGTATTATAAGTGACCGAGAGATGATTGAAAGGGTACAGGAAGATATACACAGGTTATTTGCAGATATTGCCGTTTTATTTAAGGGACTTGAGCATCTGTGGATTTTGGCATCCTGGGAATCCTGGAACCAACCTCCCACAGATATGCAAGCATGTCTATACCAAACACTTCCTCTGGACTGGTCTAACGTCCTCATGGTGGTAATGTGATGGGAGTCGGTATTCTCCAGTGCTGAGTAGCGGAACTTTCTTTGGCAGGCAGGTTTCAGAGGTCTCAGTCCATAGATGGCCAACTCCATTGCCCAAGATGAGGCAGCACCTCAATCATGGAGGACAGCAGCTCAGAAAATGGCAACCAAGAAGCAAAGAGCTCAATTTTTTAAAATATAAGAAAACTAGATTAGAATCTAAATGGGAATGTTCAGCACTGAAGATAATTAGCAAGGTACATATTACTGAAACAAAGTAGAACATTTTCTTTTCAGGAGAAATATAACTCAGACTGTCAGAAGCCAAAATTCAATTGAAAAGGCAGGTACACAAAAACAAGTTGTTTGACTTTAGCATCTGTAGTAAAGAAATATTCACATTGTTTATTAAAAACTCCACGCTATAACTTCCTGTTCATGGTTCACGCTATGACTTCTTCTTCTTGTTTGTTTCTCGTGTGTGGTGCTGGGGCTTGAACCCAGGGCCTCGCACATGCCGCGTGCAATGGCTACTCTTCAGAGTTCTGACAATGCTTCGGGGATCAGGCTGACCCTGGAGATCCCCAGCCTCACCCTTACAAGGCTCCCAGCTTGGGGGACACATTAGAAAGCTCTGTCCTGCAGTGGGGCTTCTGGTGCACCAGGGAGGTGGCCGTGGGCTCTCTGCACCCTGTCGAGCATCTGTCTCTGCACAGAACTTCCTGCTGAGTTGTGCAGGGGCCCTTCCTCACATAGTGACTGATAGCAGTCATCTTTTCTTTTTCCACTTTAGAGAGGAAATTCAAACACTCGCCAACAAGTGTCAAGAACCGGAAGAAGCCAAGAAAGAGGAGCCCAGCGCTCCCATGGAAGTGACTCGAGAGGTACGGCTTCATTCCCATTGGGCACTGGGACTCTCAGCCGACAGCAACACACATGCTTATCCTCATGCCCAGAGCCTTTCCTGACTGATGTTGGCCGTCTCACCTCTGTTAGTCAATGTCTGTGATGTGGGTGGTGTGTACAGAAGTTAGGGCTACGGTTGACCCCGGGTCAGTGGATTGACCTCTCAGACTGGTGTTGGGTCTTGGACATTTGGGCTGGTGAGAGATCTTCCAGACCTCAAGCATGCGGCAAGTTCAGCTCTGTGGCAGGGGCTCTCTGACTATATCAAGGAGGCTGCAGAGGCCCAAAAGGCAAGTCCAAAATATGCTGCACTCTCTGGGGGACTCAGGTCTCTTCCCTTCTATCCCTGATCTCTGGCTCATGTGGTGCTGAGTGACAGTGTGGTGAGGACCTGGCCACTGATCCTCTTTGCCCATTTAGATGGATGCAAGGAGACAGCTGTGGCTGAGGCAGGCATGTGAGGGTCACCTGCCCTTCCCTGACCCAGGGGTCAGCTAGGTGGCTCTGTCCCTGTTAGCCCCGGGCTACCTGCACTTCTACCTCCTTGTGAGTCTTTTCCCAATGCATAGATTCTTGAGATGGCAGGTGTGGTCTGACTSAGTCTAAAAGGGAACAACTTAGATGTTAAAATCCCATGGCCACTGTTTGCTCCAGAGGGCTTGTCGTGAATGTGTGGTGGATGAAGCCAGTGTGGTTTAGAAGGGTCCAAAACGAGCCCAGGTTGCAGCCTCTTCTGCAGTCCCTTCCCGTGACCCTTCTTCTGCCTGCCCCAGACCTGCTGCAGCAGGACCAGTGTCGGCTGTGAGGGGCTGGCAGGAGGCGGTTCCCTGGGCCTCCGGGAGGATGGGCCTGCAGGACTGTCACCTGCTGGTTGTGGAACATAAAGGGGCTTTTGTTTGGTTTTGATCTGGACTGGCTTTCCTCTTCCAAGGCTGGTTTACTTAGCTGGATTCTAATTTTAGGGTCTTTTCATTCAAAGCCAGCTCAAGAGCAGAAGGCAAACTGAAAGGGAGTTTGGAGAAGCTGCTCAGTACATTTTCAGTTACAAATCCAGACACCACAGCACTGCCAGCTGGGGGAAGCCCGTGGTTCGTTGCATGTGTGCCAGCCAGGCCCAGGCAGGCTGTGCAGCAACCGTGACCATGGCACACCCTACCGGCAGTGTGCGTGCTTCGTGAACAGCGAGAGTCCATCTCAGTCCTTTGTGAAAACATTGCTGCTGCTCAGACAGAGCGTGTGGTTTTATGCTGTCCCCAAGGGCATGCTTTTTGGAGGTTTTTCCAGTGCTCTGGATGATGTTCTAAATAACACAGAGTCACTGTCCCTTCCCACTCTCTGTGCACCCTCATGGTTCATCCACTCATCTGATTGCCACACTGCCCACCCCAAGGGACACAGGCCTCTACTGAGTGTTCTCCTGGACTCTCATTGTTGTCTGGTGGTATACCTAGGGCATTGTGTGTGACAAGCTGGGCCTGAGTGCCTCTCTGATCTGTGTCATGCACAGGATGTCACTGAAACCTCTTCTGCAAGTAAAGTGCCCTTGGGGACCAGGGAGGCTACAGGACTTACTGATTTGTTACTTGGTTACTTCTGTAGCCCTGACCCCTGAGAGGTGCTCAGCAATAAAGAAACGTCAGGGTTTCTGCCCATTGTTAACTTTCGAAGTCATACATCCCTTCGGGAGGAACCCCTTTCCCATAGACCATGGGGATGGAAAGAGGCTTTGTGTGTGCACCTCTCTGTCTCTGGCCTGCTCAGGGTTTCTGTAGATCCTCAAAATGGAGAAAAACAAGTGTGTGCTCTTGTGTTATTAGTGTCTTGGTTGAACACAGAAGACCATCATAGCACTAGTTTCTTCTCTGTACAATAACTAGATGCAGATAAATCAGGAAAGGAGGCCTTGGTATAAATTGCTTGTCCCTCCTGACTCATATGTTGACACCTCCAAAGGATCCAGCTTCATATTCCAGGGCCACCTGCTTGCTTTGAGATCTGTACTGCAGAGTCTGTTGCTTCCCAGTAATTGGGATTTAAATTTTCCACTAACTCTGTTCAGAGGCCACATCAGTAAGATGGCAGAGAAGTTCTTTTTCTCCAGGAATTATATCCTTAATCTGTTACCACACCTCTCTCAGCTCAGGCTTTAGGAGGTTTCACTTGGTGTCAAAATTTCGTTCAACGTTTTTGTTCTGGCATCTTCTTACATGACCTTGAGATTTGTGTTCCTGCACATGACAGGAGCACATTGAGGATCCCAGGCTTCCCATTGTCCTCGCCGAGACTGGGGCCACAGAAGGCATCACTGTAGTCTGCAGAGAGGCGGTGACGGGTGCTGGCTGCAGTCCATTCTGCAGTAGTGAGGAGCTGCAGCAAACTCAAGAGCACGGTGTGCTGCTCATTCCTGAGCTGGCCGAGTCCCCATCGGTGCAGTATTGAGCAGTCAGTACAAAGAATAAAGTGGGTCTTCAGTTATGACATGAGAGATGCCTATGGCCTGTTTGATGGAAACAACCCCCGCCCCCAAAAAGTGTATATGTGTAGATACATAGATTCCTTTTTACTGAAAAAAAAAATTTTTTTTTTTTACTTTGAAGTATATCTGAAAGTACTGCCAGAATTAGCTTTTACTCCAGTGGAGTTATAAGCACTTCTTCCCTTTCTTTTGTCTGAATTTTTCTTTTTTGTACCAGGGATTGAACCCAGAGGCACTTAACCACTGAGCCACCTCCCAGCCCTTTTTAAAATTTTTTATTTTGAGACAGGATCTCACTAAGTTGCTGAGGTTGGCTTTGAACTCATGATCCTCCTACCTTAGCCTCCCGATCCACTGGGATTATAGGCAGGTGCTACCACCCCTGGCTGGATTTTTCTTCATAAGCATAATTAACTTTGCTTCTTTCCTACTTATAAAAGCATTTTGTTTTGGCTAAGTGTGGTGCTTGCCTGTAAACCCTGTTAATCGAGAAGCTGACACCAGAGGATCACAAGTTTGAGGCCAGCCTCAAAATAAAGTTTTACAAGGGCTGGGGGTATAGCTCAGTGGTAAAGTACTTATCTAGCATGTATGATGCCCTGGGTTTAATCCCCAGTATCAGAAAAAAATAAATAAAATTCCATTTTAAAGAAAAGGAAGAGTGGCATTAACTGGAAGGTCAGTGTTGTTCTGAGTAAGGGTGTCTGCTCCCAGCTATTCTGGGAGAATGGTTAATTGTAGGTTAAAACGAAGCAGTGCCTCACCAAATTTATATGCATATCAAACTCCATTTTTGTTTTAGCTATCTGCCCGGAGTTGTTGGAGTCATTGTTCCTCCATCTTCTAAGTGGCTGATTTTACCCTTTGGTCACATTGGCATGAAATATGAGACAGACTTGCACCTCACTTGAGTGGAATGAGGGTCTGAGAATGAGTCAGGGTCAAGGGAGGCCGTGAGGCCTTTCAGGGGACAACTCAGAACACTACAGCTAGGTGGCAGCATGTGGACCCAGGTGACGAGACGCACACCCAGAGAGCCCAGTGGTGGGTGGCTGTGCTGATGTGTGGGATTTGTCTGGTCAGGCACAGTGAGACCCCCAGACATAATGACTGTCACAGAGGTCCACCCCCACACACCCCTAGAAACGGGAGCAGGCGTGCCACATGGGGATGCATAGGGGCGCAGGGGACAGGTAGGAGGCAGCAGTAAAGTATGGCCCAGGGCCTTTGCTCTAGGCAGGACCAGGTGAGGCAAGGGCAGGTGAGGATTGGCTGGGTTGAACAATTCTCATGGGTACCTGGCCCTGGGTGCTAGGGGGCAGGGGACACTAACTTGGTGCATGAGGGTCACACAAGGGAGCTAGGTGGTGGTGTGGGCTGGGCTTGGGTGAGTTGCATATGAAAAGTTTCTCACAGGGAAGTCCTTCTTCCCTAGGAAGTGGTGCCTCTCTTCAGGGTCAAATGTCACAGCATCATATAATACAGAAAGTAAAAGGCTTGGTTTCTATACCTAGTGGCCTGCTGATTCTGTTGGGCCATGCACCAGGCCACATGCATGCACCAGGCATCTCGGCTGCACGTGCATGGCTGGAAGCTCACATCTCTCTATGAGGGCCTTCTGTATGGATGGGCTTCTCCACTGAGCTTTAGATGTCAGAGAAATAGTTCAGTATTTTAATTTTTATTGAGAATTGTCCTTGTGGATAATAAATGATAGAAATCAGTGGTATTTTAATGGTCACAATAGCAATTCCTGTTTCTTTGTATCAAAAGCCTTGCTAGAAATATCTTACCTGTAATCCCAGAAACATCATTGTCAAAATATAATATTCAACTTCAAAAATATCCAAAAAAGGACTGCAGAAAACCAGGTGATTTCCCCCCAYAGTGCTAGGGATTGGGCTCAGGGCCTTGCCCATGCTAGGCCAGCATTGCCCCTGAGCCACACCCCAGCCCTGAAAGGGGTGCTTCTCAAGTCACAGATGGCTATTGGAAAGTGTGTGGCCATCTGTGGGTGAGCGTCCTGCAGATRCCACAGTGGCAGGACAGACTCCTCCTAGGAGATTGCTTCCAGACAAGTCCAGGGCCCACGTGCTTACTGGGCATCTGTCGAGGGTGTGGTGGGCAGTGCGGGAACAGGTCCTCCTCAGAATGAATAAGATTCATCCGTAAGTGCGGCCTGCCGTCTGCCAGGTGATGTCCTGCCAGGTCCTTACAAGATCTTCCCTGCACCAGCCCGTCCACCTTCCATTTCCTGTAGGCCTGCGGAGAGCTCTGCACACCCCCTCCCAGCAACAGGCACTCTCAGCAAGACTCTGAAGTGGATTCTGGGCCGGAGGGCTGCCCCGAGCCCCTGTCCCCCATCCCCTGCTCCGATGGAAGGAGAGAGTCTGCCGCACAGACGCTGCAGGCCAGCTGGAAGGCCCACAGACACAAGGTGAGCTCTCCCCAGAGGGCCTGGCACTCGTGCTCCCCGCTGTTTGCCCAACTGCAGAAGGTGTTCAGTTGTTCATGAGTTCTGTCAACTGGCACTGGCCTCTGTGCCAGGCACCAGGCTGGTGCCATTGATGTGTAGGAAGAGGCACAGGGAGGGCGAAGGGGGAGGGGAGTCTCCAGGAAGATCACTGTGGCTACTCCTTGGAGAGTAAACAGGATTCCATTTTTTTGCTACACAGAAACAAGGCAATGGTGGGTTCTGGAACCCTGTTAGCTCACCTGGTTTGTCATACGACCCAGCAGGTGCCCTGGGTGGGTTGCAAAAAACTGCACGCAACCACCTCCCAGAAATGTACCCCTGCTAGCCCCGAGCTGCATCCAAGAGCTCAGGAGCGCTTCAGTTCATGGACACAAATAATGTGGAGAATTGAACTTACCCACAGCCAGCCCTCCTCAGGGGCGCCCTGGGGGGCCTGCAGGAGTGGTCCATCTTATCGGGAATACGGAGGGTCTTCATTGATAGGCAGCTCTGCAGACAGCCCATCTGTAACAGGCTGGGAGACTCCTCTCTGCCCCTCGGGTGAGGGAGGAAAAGTGCTCTCTCCTGACCATCTGAGGGGCTCTTCAGGGGTCCCTACCACTGAGACTGCAGTTCTTAAGAGGCATGGTGTCCTCAGGTGAGCTTAGTGCTCTAAAAGGTCTACCTAGTGATAAAAATAAGTCATCACCTTTCCCCCAATTGAACAAACAAATTGACCTTCTCTCCTTGCCTGCACCTCGCAAGACCTTGGTTCTAGTAGGCCATTGAAGCCTCTTGAAATCTTTGTTTCTTCCCAGCTTTTATTATTAAGACTTTTCAAAACTTATGGAAAAGTGGAAAGAACTTACGATATTCAACAGTATACTGGACTCATCTTGCAGCACCTGGATTCAAGGGTAGTTAATACTCAGCCATATTTCTTTTTTATATATATAATATTTTCCCCAGACACACTCGAGAGAAAGCTTCAGATATGAAACATTAGCACATATCTTCTAAGAAGGACTTTTTCCTACTTAACCACAATGCCATTATCTTTTTTTGAGGAGGGTGGGTACTGGAGATTGAACTCGAGGGCACTCAACCACTGAGCTGCATCCCCAGTACTGTTTCGTATTTTATTAGAGACAGGGTCTCCCTGAGTTGCTTAGCGCCTCACTGTTGCTGAGGCTGGCTTTGAACTTGTTATCCTCCTGCCTCAGCCTCCTGAGCCACCGGCATGTGCCACTGTGCCTGGCACACAATACCATTATTGCACCTAAGAATATAACAATTTTCTATGCTGGGTRCTTCATATTCAGATTCCCCAAATGTGCCAGGAGCCATTCCTAGCTGTCAGTTTCAAGCTGAGATCCAGGCATGGTTGGATTGGGCTCCTCACTGGTTGGTTAGGTCTTGGTGTGATTTCCAGCAGTCCCCTCCTCCGCCTTCTCTTTTCTTTTTAAAGACATTTCTTTTTGACGAGTGCAGGTGTAGGTGAAACTGTGTTCATCCCACAAGTGAGATGGGTGGTCCCACCTGTGTGTCAGTGTGGTGACTGCTAGCTCTTGCCTAATGATGAAGCAGTAGCCTGCAGAGGGAGAGTCTGCCCAGTGACTGTCCTGCCCTGTCCTCTAACTTAGACTTAGTAACCCCTGGTCACTTCAGATGATTTCCAAGGGCAGTGTCTTCCCACTCTCATCCTTCTATTTTGTAAAGCGGGGTTTTCCTCTTGAGCACATGGACCTGCCTTCCATGCTTCCTCCCACGCTCCCCACCAGCCACACGGGGGACCTGCGGCTCCTAGCTCTTGCCAGCTTTCCTGCCCGAGATGCCCCTTCTCTCCCTTCTCCTGGTCCACTTGCAGGGACTCTCTGGGCCTAGCGGATGGCAGCTGGACCCCTGCACTGCCCTGAGTTCCCCTGTTCCCCGTCCTCCTAAGCAGACAGCCCAGTCCCTAGCTGTTTCCCTTCAAGTATTAAGGAAATGCCAGTTTCAGAGTAAAGTGTTGTTTTGATGGTCAACTTCAGCAGATCAAGTGACTCTCCCCGTCTGTCTGTTTCCCTCTCAGGGTTGGGAGGAATGTAACTATGGACTCAACACCTTTTATTTTTTCAGTCTTTTAAAAAAATTAATTACAGACATTATTCTGTTTATCATTCAAATGGCCCTGAATTAGCCCTGGGAGCCCTTTGATCTGGCTCCTGCACCTTCCTGTGCAGGGCTGGACTTTCTGTCTCAGCCATTAAGGTCAGAAGTGACTATTTTCAGCTCTTATTGACTCAGAGCAGAGCAAGATTAAGGATGGAAACTATTGTAAGGAATTCATCCTTCTCATGTTAATTCATTTTTTAAATTTTCTTTATTTCAGAGAAAAAAAAAGGCTGTCCTGAATGAGGTAAGCAAAGTTAATTTCACCAATTTGAAATAACCTGTCTTGACTTTGGAGCACAGTAACCAAGGGGATACTCAAAGACACATCAAGTCCTGGTTTTCAAGAAATCAAACCAAACCAACATTAGACTTAGGATGCCTGAGTAATAGAAACATTGGATGTTTATTGGAACAATTTTACACTTTCAAATTCATTCATTAGTTCCTTCTTTCAATACACTTTCACGTATCAGTCTGTGTCAAGCAATCTGGTGAGCTGAGGTAGAACTCTGGACAGGGCAGGGGTCAGGACTGCCGACCTACAGGCCAGGAGGGTCCCTGTGACGAGAGACCAGGAGAAAAGGGACAAAAAGGGCACCGTTGGCAGGAGAGCTGTCAGAGACGAGGAGCTAGGTGTCCATGTGGCTAACAGAGCAGTGAGAAGAAGCTAGAAGGGAGGTCAGCAATAAGATGGGGTGTATTAGGAACCTTCGAGAGCAGTGAGGGTCTGAGCCACCACCCCCTTTTTAGTAATGCACTGAGAAAAATAAACCTTTACSTTGTTCAAGACTTGGAGGCCTCACTGCCTCTCCACCTTCTCTCTGGCCCTTCTGGGACTGCAGTATTTTTCCATCTAGGCTGAGGGGAAGGCTGCAGCCACCAGCCCTGAGGATGGGCAGCTGGCTGCAGGACTTCCTGCTGCTTCTTCCTGCTACTCTGTGGGCTGAGCAGTTAGATGAGGTGATCCAGGCAAGGACTTTGAGCCCTGATGCTGCCTGGCTGCCAGGTGCTCCAGCAGGCAGCCAAAGCTCTGCCTGGCTCCTGGGGCTGTGCTTCCTATGAAGTTGCTGTCCTTGAAACCCTGTTAGCTCACCTGATCCCTCAGACAGCCCAGCAGGTGGCCTGGGTGGGTTGCAGAAAAACTGACCGGACACAACCCACATTCTGGAACGGCACCCTTGCCAGAGAGCTGATGCTGTGTTCAGGGCTGTGCCTTGCGAAGCGCAGGCCTCAGTGAGGGGCTCCTAATAGCAGTGGGACCCTCCCAGACTTCCTGGCGTCATATCTGCAGTACACCCTGGGCATGCTGCAGGCTTGGCTTCAGGTGGACAGTTGAGGTCCAGGTCCTTGTGGCAGGAGCTCCCCTTGCTAGCAGGTGCTGGACTGCCAGAGTGGCCTGCCACTCCACATTTAGGAAGTTCCCTTCTTGTCCTCAGCCATGGACACCAAGTGCCACATCAGTACCCAATTCCTGGCCTCTCCATCCTCAACCTGCTTATTCATATGGTGCCATCCTTGCCTCCTGGCCAGCCCTACCCCGTAGCCATTCCCCTGTCCTTACCAGCTGTGATGGCCATTTCAAATGTCACTGTCTGGCCTTGCTCCTGTCTTCTGTTACTCCCACGGTACCTGCAGTTCTGAGGCCCTGCCTTCCCCTTGCCCTGTGGTCTTTGACGYGCTGGTTGTCCCCCCTTCCTGGCCTGCCACACCCTGCTTATGCCTTGACTGCCTTGTTTTGTGGTTCAGGGTCATCGTACTTTCCTGTAGACCCCTTCTCTGGGGAGTCCTYGTCCTGCCTTCTCTGCCCTTGCCCCACTGAACGACTGGAGGAAAGCACATGACGTGACCCCGGCCAGGTAGCCTTCATCACTGCCCAGGGCCCCCTCGTCAGTTCACCCCGAGTCCATGAAACCCCCATGTTGTCCTCTGTAGCTGTCCCCAGCTCTGCCCCCACTCTCAGCTGATCATCTTGCTTCTGATCCCACTGAGAAACAGAAGTTGTCAGGAGACCTTCAGCTACAGCAGGGCCACCTCTACCCCTAGGACAGCCACAGTTAAAAAACTAGACAACAAGAAGCCCTGGTGGGAGGGTGGAGCCCTGGTGCTCTGCTGGTGGGGATGTGATGCCGTGCAACTTAGCACACCAGGAACATGAGCTCAGAAGCCAGGCCACACATTGTGTGACAAGAAGTGTCCAGAAGAGGTGACCCAAGGAGACAGAAAGTGGGTCACTGGCTGCCAGGGCCAGGGGCAGCAGAGGATGGGAAGTGATGGCTGACAGTCCAGGATCTCCATGTGGGATGAGGGAGAAGACCTAGAGTAATAAGGCAGTGGTCACACAACAGTGTATGGAGTTAATTCCACTGCCTTGTACCCTTGATGTGTATTTTACAATTTTTTTAAAAACTTCAAAATATAAGAACACAAGAGCCCTTCCTCATCCTCCTCCCACTACCAGGCTCCAGGCTCCTACTGAAAGCCACCAGCTCCCTGGGTGCTGGAAGGGGCTCAGGGGCTCACTTCCAGCAGCAGCCAGGGCCCCATGCCCGTCAGTCCCCTCCTGTGCGTCTTGATTCCATCAGGATGCAGACATGGGAAGTGCTCCCTGGGCCTGCTCCCCTCTATCTGTTGTCCTGATTCTTTGACTCCCCAAACTCCAGCTCTGCAGTTGCTCACCTCCCTTTTAGAACCCACTTGTCCCTATCCAGCAGTCACCAGCTGCTCAACCCAGAGTGGGTCCTTCCCAAGGATCAGCCTGTGACTTGACCTCCTTGAGCCTTTGGTGCTTGGGTTTCTTCTTGGTGGTGCTTCTCATCTCAGGGTCTGCAGTGTCTCTGCCTTGACTCTCCTCCAGTGGCACCCACGGGCAGAAGGACCCTGCAGAGTCCCACCTCCTCCCAGCCAGCAGGCTCCTCCCCGACCCCAAGACCACCCCCCCACACCCCGCAGGCCTGGATTCCACCACCTCGGGTTATTGTGGAACTCTGACTTTTCACCTCCAGACCTGCTCTTTCCCCTGCACTGCTCATCTTCAGACACGATGCCCACCGTATACCTGCTTGCCCCCCCTTTCCCCAACATCCTACCTCCGATCCAGCCAAACCTGAAGCTGCCTGCAGAGTGAACAAAACTTGGCCTCTTCTCCCTGGTCTGCAGCTCCCGCCATAGCCCAGACCCCTAGACCTTAGCAATAGTTTCCCCTCCACCCCCCATGATTTAATCCCTTGTAGCAGCCAGGCAGATGTTTTAGAATGTCAGCTAGTACTACGCCTTATCTTCCTGTCACACTTAGACAAGTCCAGAGTTGTTCCTACCAACCTGCATGCTGACCACGTGCCAGCCCTCTAGCCTGGTGTCCTCCGGCGCACCTTGAGTCTGGCACATTGCTGCCACGGGGGCCCTGTGTGCTGCGCCCTCTGCCAGGAAGGAGCCTCCCCCCACCCTCAGTCTTGCCCCTCACTTTATTCAGAACTGGGCTAGAAAGGCAGGTCCTCAGAGCCCCCTCCTGAGTGCCCATACCCATCACTCCCACCCCATGCCCTGGGTTAACTCTCTCACAGCATGTGGCAGTGACGCTTGCCCTAGGACTCTAGCTCCCTGCAGGTAGGGCCCTCCTGTCTTTCCTCCACTGGATCCCTAGTTCCTAGAACAGGGCCTGAGATTCTGAACCACCGTTTGCTGGATATCAGCTTTGCACATGCTAGATGCCCCTGAAAGCTGTGTGTGGAAGGATTCAGTGTTTTTAATGAGTGAGCGAGGGAAGGGTCCAGGGACCCGCGGGAGGGTGAGCACGTGCTGTCTCTGAAGTAAGATGATGATGAGACCCACTTTATAGTGTCACCGAAGGGCTGTGTCACCACATGCAAGCTTAGGGCACAGAGGATCCTCCCGTGCCTTCCCTCAGTCTTTGGATGGCTTCATTTTCAGCCAGTGCAGTCACCTGTCAACCGGCAGTACTTCTTGTGAAGCTCCTGGGTCGGCTGGGTGGCTGCTGTTCTTCAGTGGGTTATGTATCCTTCATAACTGGTGGCCTCTCCCCTTCCCTTGCATACTCGCACCTTAGTCTGTGTATATGACATTTCCATCACCTTGCCTTCAAGAAAAAGTGAAAGGGCTTGTCTTGTCCTGACAGTCTAGACCTCTCACACTGGCTTGTCATTCTCCTAAGTGTTCTGAGAGCAGCGAGTGCTCTGCCACACGGGAGAGTTTGAACCAGACAATAGGCAGGGTCATTCAAAACCCTGTGCTTCCCCCAAACAGCAGGGCCTCAACTCAGGCCTTGGGAACACCTGTGCTCACTCTTAAGAAAATCACTAGTTTAAAGGCCAAAGGATAAGTAGGTCCCTTATGATTGTTCTGGAGATCTTTGGTTTTTAGAAGATGCCTCTAATGTAGATGAAACAGTAAACTCTCCCAACCTGAAAACGCGCTGTGTGAAGCACAGGCTGATGCCACAGTGGTTCTGTCCCCTGTGGCTTGAGGCACCTGAGCCTTTTCTTCCAGGTGGAAGGGTGGTGAGGGAGAATGAGGGAGAAGGCTCTGAGCTGCTCTTTCGGTTACACAGTAGTACAGGAAGGCGTTTCCTCTGCCCGTACAACTTTTCCTTCTAGAATCTTCCTTACCCTCCCCACCATCTTCCAGGGAAATTTAAGTTTTCCTCTCCCTCTTTTTTTCCCTGCAGGCAGCCACTTTGCTCCAGGCAGTTTTCAGGGGACATCTAGCCCGAACAAAGCTGTTACTGAGCAAATCCTGTGGTTCAGAATCTCCGGGACTGCCGGGTGTTCCAGAGCAGGTAACATCCAGGTGGCGGGACGCAGGCCCAGTTCTCTCCATCRCCTCCTCTCTCGTGCTTCATCAGCCAAGGAAAGCTCACTCGGGCTCTGTCTCGCTGTCTTGCCGTGCCGGGTGGGTGTGCCCCACACTCCAGCCTGGGAGCCCAGCTGCCACACCTCTGGTGCTGGCCCGGGTGGACTCCACCTTAGAGGCCAGATTGTCTAAGGTCTGGAGACTCAAGTGGCATATTTGCCTCGCAGTGAAGCCAGGTGCTAGTACAGGTTTATGCTCCCATGTCGGCCCCTTCCTCAGCAAAGAAGATGTTTATTTAAGAATCTCTAGAGTTTCAAAATGAACACCCTACAAGCAGGAATCTGATTAGGACAGCAATAATGGGGGACACCTGAGAAGGCACTTGTTCAGCCCCCCCATGCTTGGTTGCTGCACACAGAGCCAACCCGGCAGGGCTTGCCAAACTGTTCTCTCCCTGTTGTTATTACACTGCAGAGCTCGCCCACGCCCTGTGTCCCAAGCCCCAGTGCCCAGGCTGAGAGCAGCCCAGGGCAGGAGGAGGCCATCGCCACCATCCAGTCTGTCCTCCGGGGACACCTGGCTCGAGCCAAGCTCACCAGGTGAGTGGGGGTCAAGGTATGCATCCATGCTGTGTCATGGGGGAAGCCCCGTGCAGGGGCATGGCAGTGAGCTGGTGCRGTGCCTGCTGTCTGTGAGCCAGGTCCTGGCCTGTAGCCATGGCYGGAGTTAGACCTTCTGGGAAATTCCTCACATAGCCATGGCACGGGCCACAGGATCTGGCCCTCTACAGGAGGGCTTCCTAGAGGTTCATCTTGGTGCTGGGTGGAAACAAGATGAAGGGGTCTATGCCACCTTGGCAGGGCAACCATCAGTTGGCAAACTGTTGTCAGCCTGGGCTAACACACCTTCCCTTTTTAAAGAAAAATGTGACATGATCCCAGAGTTCAGCAAGACACAGGTGTTGCCAGGACCCTCCCGCAGCCACCCGCCACACAGGACAGACTGGGTCTCTGCATCCCTGCTAGAGTGCCCATTTTGGTCAGCTCACAAAGGTGGCGTTTGCAGAGTGTGAAGGGTCTGGGACCCCAGGCAGGCGTGCTGCTCCCTGTCCCACCCTGTAGTCACAATCATTCTCCTCCTCGGACCCTGTGCTGCATGGCAGAAAATAGCAGCTACCCATTGCTTTTGAGTGTGCAGCTTCTCTCCACAAAGGAGAGCCAGACAAGTCTGAGCCTCAGTTCGCAACCACGTGGTGTAGGACGTGCCAAGGGCTTGGCTTAGGTTGCCACCACCCGGGGCCGTCAGCGAGACCAGGAGGTGGGCGGCTGTGTGTTGTGGTCATGTTCACTGGGAACCAGAGACGGAGGGGGCAGGAAGATGCTGCAGTCAGCTTATAAACCTGCACCGCCTGACCTCCGTGTGGGCCTGAGGACGTTTGAGGCTCTTGGGCCAGAGCACAGTGTCCATATGGTGGGACAACCGCCCGGGCAAGTTGGTGAGCACTGTCCAGGCCCACGTCTTTCTGTCTTCCAGCTCCGGTGGTAAAAGGACAGCCACCACTGTACCTAGCAGAGCTGCAACAGCCATGCACCCAGAGACCTCCCCACCCTCCTGGACGGCTTCTCCTGGTAAGGACACAAGGAGCCGCRGGCCCTCCAGGGGTTAAGCCAAAAGAATAGCCACCTTGTAGGCAGCTTGGGCAGGTGAGGAGGCAAGGGAGGCTGCCACACGGTGGCCACCACCCCGGAAACCAGGAAGACCCTCTTCCAGTGTCCTCCCTGGCGGGGCACTTGCTCACGGAGCTCCTTGCTCACAGCTCTGCTGACCACACGTCCATTCTGCTGCCCAGCTTTGTGTCCTCGTTCTCCTCAGCTACAGCCTGAGCTAGGGGGTTCCCTCCTTGCCCGTCCTGTTTGTTTGTTTATTTGCTGTGCCGCTGTTCCACCCACCCTGAGGGTAATCCCCACAGGCCCCGGACTTTCTCTGGGGTCACTCTGCTTTTGTGCAGAGTGGGGAGTGGTGCAGAGACGGCTGGAAATCCCTCTCAGCCCCCACATCAACGAACCTGAGTCCTGCCTCACGCTCAGTGCAGACCTGCAGCAGCTGCTCACAGTGGCGGCCTCTACCGCTGGAGAGCTGGCGGGAGTGACAAGGCGGTGGGAGGCTGGGGGCAGTCACCGGCAGGGAAGTGGAGTCCAAAGCCTGCTGGGTCCTGTGTCCCTGGACATCCTCACACAGGGAAGTCGTGACGCTCCTAGGCCTCTGGTGGAACCAGGAAGGGTGGGTGGGAAAGAGCAGGGCMCTTGCTATGACAAGGTAGAAACAGGCAGGGGTCACCAGTCAGTGACAGGACGCAGTGCCTTATGTGCAGTGGGTCCAATTTGCCTCTTCAGGTGAGAAGAGCCAATTGAGTGGTGAGGAGGTTGCAGAGGATGAGCCAGAGGAGCCCGCAGGCGCTCAGCCCCACGCCGGTAAGTGTGGGGGCTGATGGCAGGTGAGGTTGTACCTTCCCATGCCGTCACCCTCGTTCTCTGATGACAGAATAGTTGCACTTAAGGCTAAAGCCATAAGTCGGAGCCTTCCCAGACCTGGTGGCCTGTGTGCCCTCAGCCGGCCATCTCTTTCTGGGTAGGCATGCCCCTTCCCTCCCCAGGGACACATTAGGGAGGGAAGCACATTAGGAGGCATGTCTCTGAGGTGACAGGATGCAGCTGCTACCCGGCTGAGAATCTCACTCCACGTTCAGCCTGCAAACACGTCTGCAGTTGCCTTTCACCCACTGGAGCCATTTTTCCGTGGCTTTTTTAGAGCTGGAGCACTTTGGACTTTGACATTCTCTCCAAAACTTGCATCTGCTAAGCTGAGTGAGCAAAGATCAGCAGCCCCGGGATTTTCAGGAGCAACATGCAGGCACCGAAGCCTGAAAGGCCAGCAGTCTGCTTGTAACCCTCTGCACCTAAAAGGCTTTAAATTGTTCTCTCAAAGCCCAGTTTACGCTGATTCTCAGACCCGGTGTTTGGCGACCTTTAGATTATTTGACCAGGGCTGAAGTGTTCATTGGTGCTGCCCTTTCCTCCTCTTGCTAAACGTAAGTGAAGTTGAAGAGGCAGATTCACCCACCTGCCCGAGAATGTGATCTCAGGTTGTGTCCAGATGCTCCACTGCCACTGGCCCAAGGCCACGGGTTTGCAGAAGTATAAGTGAAGCCTTTGTTTGACCTGATGGTGTTTTAAAAAAAAAGATGAAAATAACCTTGAAAATGGGTGTTTTTACCTTCATAATTTTTCACTTTCATATTAATTTCTTGAAAGTTGCAGGAAAAAAAAACTGCCACAGTTCTGGAATCTGCCCGTGGTTGCTTAAACTCCCCTGCTCCTAAATCTCAAGACAGCGGCTGGCCCCTGTTTATTAGCAGTGAGAGTAAGGCTCTTTTCTGAGGCGCCCTGGGGCTCTGCGGCGGTGGGAACCGCCCCTTCCTCAGTGGCAGCCCTCCGCCCTGTCTGTCCCCCACTCAGCCTGGAGGTGGCGCCTCTTCCCAGCAGAGAATAAGGATTTGAAGTGTTTACATGGGGCGCTCACAGTCACCAGTGCCCCTTTGCCTCATCCCGAAGCCACACCTTGAGCCAGGAACCTGGTTCTCTCCCAGGTGGCTGTTAGCCCTGTCTACACCAGGGCTGGCCCCCACCGAGGGTCCAGTTCTTTCACAAATGTTTCAAGTTCAGGATTCGGAGTTGGGAAGTAAGAGAGGGCTTTCTGGCAGTGTGTACGTGGCCTTTGGCTCCCTTCTCCTGGGAAGGACCTTGGGCTTGCCTGCCAGGAGGTGCTGGTGGTGTAGTGTGTCCATGCTGGCTGGCAGCCCTAAGCAGAGAGCCACTTGTGACTTGGCGTGGCTGACCTCACTCCTCTTTTTTTCAGCCGGGTCCTCCTCCATGGAGCTGCAGGCCGTGAAGCCCCCAGCCCTGGATGACATCAACTCCGATGACTCCGATGATGTTGTCTTTATGCCACCTCTGCCCACAAAGAAAACCCCCTCCCCGTTCTAGGTCCCTATTGTCTCCAAATGGTGACAGCTGCCAGGGACAGGTTAGGTAGGGTTAAAGGACAAAGCACATTCTAGAGGATTCATAAGTAAATTGGAAAGATGATTTATCTTCCTAGAGAAAGAATGATCCCTCCTGCACCTCCGCATCCCATCAGTTTTCTCGTTTTTGCTCTTTGGTCTGTTGGAGGAATCCTGGCAGCCTTTCTCTTCCTCTCTGGGGAAGCCCAGGGAGCCACCTTGCTCTGCCACCTCCTGCCACAGCACCCAAAGTGGTTTTCAGTGCCCACAGGCATATTCCCCCTGCATTGGGGACAGCCAAGGAGCTCTGTAAAGATGATGCTCTCCTAACAACCTACACCTGACCTTGACCTTGACCTGTGAGGAGCCACCTCACCAGGAATCCGGGGCATGCCACCCATCCTCATCCTGGATGCCATAACCAACCGTGGCCCCAGGGGTCCAGCTGAAGCACCCTTGCACCTTTGCGGGTGAGCCAGGCTTCCCCAGCTCCACAACAGGATGTAGCCACTTCTAAGCCAGTGAAGAGCTGCAGATCCCAGGGCCCCACAGTGAGCTCCCACCCRCAGGTCCCCTTCTCCCTCTTCCTTCCCCTGGGTGCTGTCTAGAGCTGCCCTTCCTGAGAAGGAGTCTGGGTGGAGTCTCGAGTGGATAGACACTGGAAAGTAGAAGAGAGTGGTCACAGAAGCAGCGCCACACCTGGTTTTGCAGAAGAAACAGGTGGCCGCTTCCCGCTCTGTCACCAGGGAAGGTGCCTTAGCCTCCAGGGTCATCCTCAGGGAAGCAGGATAAGGAGACAGGCCTGTCATCCTGGAGAAAGCAAAGTCTCGGGTGGGGACAAGTCTCGTTTGGGGTAGCCCCGTTACCCTTGGGGTGGGGCACGCTGACCTGGTGACCCCACTGAAGCTGGCTGAGGTGTGCGCTGTGGAATTCCCTTGARGAGCCCATCGTTTGAGTCTCATATGTGAAATTAGCCCTTGCTGGTGGCAAATATTAAGAGCCTCAGCTGGGACAAGGTTTTGATAGTGTCCAGACCCTGAGTAGCCCAAGTCCACTCTTCAGAATCCCTGCAGACTGGGCTGCTTCAGCGCCAGCCACTGGGGAACTTCCGACCCAGGGCTGGCCATTGTCTTAGGAGGGATCTGATGTTAGAAAGCTCCTTCTTGGACCAAACTGCTGGGGGCACCCAGGGGTCTTACCTTTAGGTACAGTCTCATTCCTTGGGTGCACCCCCCACACACAACTGAACAGCCAGTGCTCTTGAACATGGCAGCTTTCTGGTGTGATCTCTGGGAAGCTGGGCTGCATTTGGCTCCAACAGGGCCAGCAGGGACTGGAGCCTGTGCTGGCCAGAGCATGAGGGCCTCCCTGCCTCTTTGTGACGGGGCTGAGTGAGGCTGGAGGACCTGTGTGCCACACAGGTTGGTGCCCAGTGCCTTCTCCACCTTGGCTCTGCTTACATGGTGAGTAGGAAAACATGGCGCCAGGGGCCCGGCTGTTGTAATTTTTTCCTGTATTTGGACTGTGGGCTACTAAATCCGTTTTCTTTTTCCCACTGAACTGATTGGAGTCTTGACTGACCTTGACTGACATGAGCCCTCTGTAGACCTCCTTCACTGGATCCCTTAGGTGTGTTCCCTAGCAGCCTGCACCCTYCTTCAGAACCTCACACGCACCCACTGAGTGCAGGAGGCAGGTGGCCCCAAGGTGCCTGCTCATCTGCTGGGCCCAGGTGGCCCATTAAAGGAGGGCATTTCTACATCATTCACTCCTCAGGACCAGTGGCCTGAGTTCTAGATTAGGGGGTTGAAGGAGATTTTTTTTTTCTGACAGAGACGTCCCTGCCTCAGGTTTGGTGAACAAGCCTATGCTTATTGTACCTCCGAGAGGCTGCTGGGGGTAGAAGGGTACCCCAGCCCAAGGCCAAGGGCTGCCCATTCGAGGCATCCCATTTACGTGAACTGTAAGGGGCCTGGCCAAGGGGCAGTGCCAAGGAGTTTAAAAGCAGCCCCTGGGCTTGAGTTTTCCAAGAAAATGCCCTGAGAATTGTAAATATGTACATTGTCCTGTCTATTTTGGTAAGCATTGTTGATCAATTAAAAGCAAATGTTCTGTCTTAAAGCTACCTCAGTAAGTGACAATACCTCAAGTCTGTCTTCACTACCAGCTTCAGCTGGTCACCCAGTCCTGTGCTGGGACTGCTTGCCTGGCTGCTGTGCCACATGGCACCCATGGCCCAAGGCCTGGGCCCTGGGATGGTGGGGACAGGAGCTGTTGCTGGCTTGGGCAGGAGGGGAAGAGGCCAGCAGCCAAGTCAGCCTTGAACTCCACCTTCCTGTGAAGGAAGAGGAGACCGCCCCCTTCTGGGTAGCAGGAAAGCCATGGAGAGAGCCCTTTGTTGCAAAAATGCAAGAGGAAGGGGCTCAACCCTGACCTTCACGGCAACACCACCACATCACCTTGAACTTGAACAGTAGCAAAACTACCTGCCACTACAGGCTGCGTAGATAGTCCAGCTTTAAAAGAAAGACACTTTCTCTATCCCGTGCCTTCTAAACAGGAGAAGTGAAAATCTAGACCTGGCTGCACTGTGTGGGTGACAGCCACACCTGCTGACCTGAGCTGGTGCTTGCAGGTGTGCTGGGCCAGGTGCACGCTCCATGCGGATCCCCGTCCCTGCTGCTCACTTTCACGGCAGCACTGCCTGGAGGACTTAGGTATTCCCAAAGATTTACAGGAGGCAGGCTGGCTTGGGACACAGCCCTGGCAGGACCTTTCCAGGATGCTATCCCTTGGCTAGGACACTTGGGATAGGGAGTGCCCTTCTGAAGATGCCAGGTGATTTACAGAAGTGAATCCAGGTGGTACCATGGCTCTCCACCCACCAGACGCAGCTAATGGAAGGGGCTGGGACCAACTAGGCTGCCCTGAAACTAGCCAAATGGAAACAGGGTGCAGCCAGTGGCAGGTGCATTTTGGGGGAACTCAACAGCAAGTTTCTGTGGGGAGTGTGACCCCAGAGAGAGACATGCAGCATGGAGAGCAGGCCTGAGCAGTCCACCAAGGAATAGCAGAGGGGCCAGAGAAGGCAAGACCCCAGCCTCCCAGCCCCTCAGCCCACTACCCATGGGGACCTGACTGCAAGGTTGGTAGGCGGAGCCAACCAGGGCTACATCCCCAGGCCCAGAGCCTGGTGTTTGGACAAAGTAGGTGACATATTAGGGACTGTTGGCTCGAGTGAGTCTGTGCATTCGTGCAGGCCTCTGGACAAATGACCCTGACCACATATGACGGCCATGTTCTGGCTGGTGAATGTCTTTTCTTGTTTTCTGACGAGGGAAGTGAGGACTGTGCTCTCTGTCCCTCAGATGGACCAGAATCCTTCCCTACAAAAAGACCAGTTACATTAGAAAAAGACCATCCTAGCTCAGATCCACCAAGCCCAGCAGTTTTGCTTCACTTTTAAAGATATAAATAACTTCTGTGGAAAGCACTGTAACCTTCAAGATCTAAATAAAAATTCCATTATAACCTGTCTGAACTAATTTTGAAATTCCTCCTTGGGTGTTAGAAGCAGTGTTCATGCTCAGCACAGAGAATATCTGAGCACTGGAGACTTAACAGGAAGACGGTGCCATGGGCACACGCGGTTTCTCAAGGACCCCACCTCCCCAGGGGCCTCCTGGAAGCACTAACACTAGGCTGGCTACCCCAAGCAGGGAACCCCAGAGCCTGGAAAGTACCAAGAGGAACTATGTCTGGAGGCTGAAAAGGAACTCTCAAGATGGCCCAGGGGACTTGGGAGTTGATCTGATGATCTTTGGAGTGTTTTATTTAGAATTTCTCACACCTCACACATAATTTCCTTGTGAATCTTTTGGAAAGAGTAAGTCTGTCATTTCTTGTGCTGCTTGTTCCTGGCCTCTGTAAGGGAGGCATTTGTCTAGATTGCCCGTGCTTCCCATGATGCAGTCTTGCTGTTTCTCTGTACATGCCCCTAAGAGGGGGTGATCCGCTGCAGGAGCCCCAGCTTCCTGTGCCTCGGGCATTTCACTTGGGTCCTCATTGGGGCTGGGGATTGAGAGTCACTCCCTGCCACGTGGTATTCTGAGTTGTCATGGACACCCTATCCCTCTAATTTCTGTTCCTTGGACACGAGTGAGGAACTTGAACATCAAGAAATAAAAATGTGTGTACGTGCGGGAATTTCTCCAGATTCTGCCTAATCGGCGTTTCTGGAACAGGGAGAGTATAATTACAAACACAGATGGCCATGCCAAAAAGAACCAACTTGGTACCTGCACTTTGTTTGATACTTTGCTGAGCAGGCTGGTGTGTCTGTGACTCCCTTCCCACCATGCCCTCCCTGTCATCCAGTCCCAGATCTGGTTTGTCTGAAACCCAGGGACTTGGGTGCTAGCTCTGGCATTTGCCTGGGTTCGTCTTTGTACCCAGATCACATGAGTGTCCAGTTGACAAATGTGGGAACTTCTGCTTTACAGAGGAGCTGGCCGGGCCTGCAGAAGCCGGTGGGACTAGGATGCACAGTGCAGGGACAATCACCCAGCCGCAAACCCCCAGCTACCGACAACCTGCCTGTGAGCTGGTCTAAGAGCAGAGCAAGGCAGCCCCTGCCTAGCTGGAGCTGAGGGAAGGAAGAAAATGAGGCCTCCCGCCAAGCCTCAGGTTCATCAGTGACTTACCCTCACATGTTTGCACACACACAGTCCCCTGCCCATTCCTACCACTGGATTTTGTGCTCTTGGGAATCTGTTCCAGCTTGGCCTGGGAGAATCATGCTGGTCTTAAAGACCTGGAGACAGTAACCCCAGGTCCTAGCCAAGGCATTTTTATTTTTATTTTATTTATGTATTTGGTACCAAGAATTTAAGCTAGGAGTACTTTACCGCTGTACCACATCCCCATTCCTTTTTGAGACAAGGTCTTACAAAGTTGCAAGTCTGGCCTTAAACATGCCATCCTCCTACTTCAGTCTCCCAAATAGCTGGGATCCCAGGTGTGTGCACCTCCATGCCCAGCTCCAAGTCAGGTTTAAATATGACATTTTCCCAAGTCCTCGGGGGACATTGAAAAAAGAGTCTGAAGCCCTAGTTCCTTTTGGCATTGATGTTGGGTTCAGAATATGAATGATGAGGATGAGGGACAGGTTGGCCCGGCTTCATGAGCACCAGCTAATGGCCTTGAGCCAGCTTTCCCAACGGCTCCTGCGGGCTGGGCCCAGTTACAGCGCTGAGGGGTGGCCCCATTAGACAGTGCCCGCGGAGGAATCTGGATGAGGTTTCCATGGTGCTGTGTCCCTTTCTGAATGAGGAGAGGGGGTACCTCTGAGCTATTCGTTAATTAAGCCCAGAACAGCCCAGGATTCAAAGGAAAGGTCCTATATGTGCCAAGGCTCCTGAGCTGCCATTCACCGGGCCCAGCCTGGGGGCTTTCTTCTCCCGGCCTCTCCCTTCCCAGGCCGGGCTTCCAAGGGATGAAAGCCGAGAGGCCGCGTGGGCAGGGTAGGGGCACAGCTCGCATAATACATGAAAAGGGCGGCTCCCTGCTAACAGCCGCCTCCTCGCCCGCCCCTCCGCAGACCTGCCTCCTCTGTCGTGCTGTGCCAGCGCTCGCTGCCGCCATTCTGCTGCCCTTCCCGTGTGATCACGCGCCTCCCTCCTTTTTGAATTTTCTTCTACTCCTGGCACTCGGCCCCTTCCCCAGTTAATGGAGGTGTCCCCAGTGCCCCGACCTGCCCATCCCTCTAAATATCTACTGGACATTGTCACACAATGGAGGCCTCCAGCTCAGCTCCTTCCAGTTCTCACGTCCCTTCACCCCAATCCGCTCCTGGTCAAGTGATCATCACAAGCCACACGGTGGTCAGCACCAGAGACCTGGGGATCGCCCTCATTTCCCTCCACGTCCCCAGCCCTCCCACAGTACCAGGCCCTGCAGCAAGGCAGGAGACCCAACCAGCCATCCCCACGGGCCATGTGCACACATACACACAGCACATGCAACGCACATGCACAAACACGTACACCCACATACAGATGCTTGCATTCATACAGACATGCACATCTGTATGCACAATGCAAACACTCATGCACAAAGACGCATACACAAAACACAAGAACACATGTACACACATGCAAACAGACACACACAAATACAAACACACACTTGAAAGTCAAGCCAGTTTGATGCTCTTTCATTTTTTGGCGGGGGGGGGGGGGCAGGGGGACGGTTACTGGAGCCACATCCCCAGCCCAATTTTGTAGTTTATTTAGAGACAGGGTCTCACTGAGTTGCTTAGTGCCTCACATTTTCTGAGGCTGGCTTTGAACTGGAGATCCTCCTGCCTCAGCCTCCCAAGCCATTGGGTGGACAGGCATGTGCCACCGCACCCAGCACTACTTCATTTTTTCAAAGACAAGACCACGAAAAAGAAAGCATGTCTGGCCAACTTGAAAACGAGGACTTTTTATCCATGTGGATGAAACTGTCAATGGCCCACTGACTAATAAGCAGTTTGACCAGACACCATACATACAGATTTGAAATTGCATCTAAAATAAAGCATTAAGGCCCTGGGGGGTGTAACTCAGTGACAGAGCGCTCACCTCGTATGCTCTAGGCCCTGGGTTCCATCCCCAGTGCCATCAATAAATAAATAACAGGCATCAGCCTAGAAACACCCACTGGAGGGCTCTGGGGTGCCTGCTCCGTSGCACCTTTGTCACCATGTCTGGAACCACCTCATGCAGTCCCCATGCATCTTGACCCCCATCGGAGTTGTTTGACATTCCCACAATGATTTAAAACCCCAAGTAGGTCAGGCTGTCACTGGGACCCCCGCCCTGCACACGACCCAAGGGTTGTCTGAGGAGGCGGCTGGTAGCTTCCCATTACCACAGAGTAACCACTGACTATGTGTTAAAGTCATCTTTTAAGGCTGATTCACAGTGAYGCCCAATCCTTGCAAATGAGAGGATCTACCCCTGGCATCATGACTAAGCCTGAGCTAAATTTCTCTCATGTGTTTGCAACTAGTCCGTCAGGCGAGCCCTGTCA